CAGTGTGTATAGTGGATGTAGGATGTGTGTAGTGGATGTGCTATGTTTGTCATGGATGCAGTGTGTATATTGGATGTAGAATGTGTGTAGTGGATGTGGTATGTGTGTCATGGATGCAGTGTGTATACTGGATGTAGAATGTACGTTTTGTGTAATGTATGTAATGTTTGTATGCATGCATTAGATGCAGAGTGTGTGTGTAGTGAATGTAGGTGTGTACAGTGAAGGCAGAGTGTATGTTTGTGTAGTGGATGTAGTGTGTGTACAGTGAATGCAGAGTGTGTGTTTTGTAGTGGATATAGTGTGTGTACAGTGAATGCAGAGTGTGTGTTTTTGTAGTGGATGTAGTGTGTATAGTGCATGTAGTGTGTTTGTAGTGAATGTAGTGTGGTTGTAGTGAGTGCAGAGTGTATTTAGTGAATGTAGTGTGAGTAGTGCAGATTGTGTTTAGTGAATGTAGTGTGTGTAATGCAGAGTATTGTTTAGTAAATGTAGTGTGTGTAGTGCAGAGTGTGTTTAGTGAATATAGTGTGTGTAGTGCAGAGTGTGTGTTTAGTGAATATAGTGCAGAGTGTGTGCTTGTAAGGATGCAGTGTGTGTAAAATAGGGGGGAGGGGAGTATTTTTTTAAAAAATTGTGTGTATTTAAATTTTAATCCCCCCTCCCTGCTTCTTACCGTGCCAGTGAGGGGGGAGTTCACATTGTGGAGGGAGCCAGCTGCGGTACATTGCAGAGAAGGGGCCCAGTAGCACACACTGTATTCCTTTCCAGCTCCTCTCTGACGAACTCTCGCGAGACCAGCCTGTGTGCTGTGCGGAGCGTTGCCATCGTAATACGGCTGTAGGAAAGTCACAGAGAGGAGCTGGAAAGGAGGTCCAAGTGTGCTGCTGGGCCCCCCTCTGCATGTACAGGTAGCAGGAGGCCCTCAGTGCACATATACATACACACACACACACACACATATATATATATATACACATATATATATACACACACACACACACACATATATATATATATACACACACACACACATATATATATATACACACACACACACACACACACACACACACACACACACACACATATATATATATATACACACACACACACACACACATATATATATATATATACACACACACACACACACACACACACATATATATATATATATATATATATACACACACACACACACACATATATAGCGAAAATCGGAATGTGGGACTCGGACTGCCAGAGTAATCCGGGCCCCCCAGGACCGCCGGGCCCATGACAACCGTTATGGTTATCATGCCCTGATGGCGGCTGTAGCGGATGGCACTGGGCTGTCCTGAAAATTTCATGTGAATAGCTGCATTCGTGTAAACTGCTGGTTTTATATGTGTTTAAAAGAAATGTATTCCTCTGATTGTTCGGTAGAATCATTTGAATAAACTAAGGGAATGAAACTACCGAACAATCAGACCTCCCCTGTGTGAAGTGTGTCCTCAATTACCCGTTGCAACATTGTTGCGAACGTGTAATTGACAAGGGAAGTAGCCGTCCTTTGTTCTCGGGGGTGGCCGCCATTCGACAGACGAACACGTGGCGGCCATTTTAAAACTCCCGAACAGCAGTGTTTTGCCATCGAGTGTCTGGAACTCAAATCGGACACTCGACTAGGCGAACACCGCTGAAACCTCCACAAGCCCGGTCCGTTCGGTTCCTAACTACCGAACGGCCCCTCGTTCGGTAGACAGAAAGAATCGAACGAGGGGATTCAGGCGAACCCTCCCTAGCCTCTATAGCTAGAGATTTTCATGCCATTCATTCCCTGACTCCAGGACCGACCGCAGGGCCCATTCACATGGAACCGCATTCGGCTCTTTCACTCAGTGCAGTCGGTCATTTTATTCCCTCCATAAATTTCCCGATCCCCTGGTCTGATCTGGGTGATTTTTGGATATGTTGTTCACCCAGATCAGGGCTACCAGGGGATGTATGATTTATGATGCAGGCTGAGGGGAGGAGATGTGTGGGAGGTTACCAGAACAGGATTGGCTACTGTACTAATGACTGTAAATCCCTCCCTTGCATGGGAGCATGCTTTAAAAGGCCAGTGTGGAATAAAGCTTTCAGTTCTGCTCCTGAAACTGTGTGTCATCCAGTTATTGGGATTGCTGTGGGGATACTGCTGTTATTTTGCCTGCTGGAAACCTTGCCTGTGGATTTACAATTTACTTGTTCCTGAGCCTCACTTGGATTAAAAGCGGAGATAACCTGGGGAATATTGCATCTCCACTACAGCGGCCCTGGTAGGGCCTCACCCTAGGTGCACAGGGAATGAACCCTTAAGTGCTGGCCTCAGCTCTGGTAGCGAGCATCAATCAGTTCTCCAACAATTAGATCACTGTCCAGAAAGTGTTGAAATCCTGCCCAGCCATTAACCGAGGCTGTAACAGCATGTCTCCATTCAGCCTTACAGTGTAGCGCATATATAGTAGGGGCCTCACCCCGGGTGCACAGGGTATGAACCCTGAAGTGCTGGCAGTTCTGACAGAGAGCATCAAACAGTTCTCCAACAATTAAATCCCCTTCCAGAGAGATATTCCGTTAAGCAGAAAGTGTTGAAATCCTGCCCAGAAGTAAACCAAGGCTGCAACAGCATGCCACCATTCAGCCGTACAGTGCAGTGCACACATAGTAGGAGCCTCACCCCGGGTGCGCAGTGTATGAACCCTTACGTGTTTGCCACATCTCTGATAGAGAGCATCAATCAGTTCCCCAACAATGAAATCACTGTCAAGGGGGATATTCCTTTAAGCAGGAAGTGCAGAAAATTACTGTCAAGTAGTTAAAGATGCTACCATAGCACGTCTCCATTCAGCAGCATAGTGTAGCGTAGACCTAGCGGTGGGTTCACCCCAGGAGCATGGGGTATGAACCCTTCAAGTGTGGGTCACAGCCCTGATAGAATGCACTAATCTGTGTTCAAACCGTTACTTAAAGGTCATGGGGGATATTTCTTTAAGCAGCATGTCCTGGAAATCCTGTTCCGCAGCTGCAATAGCCTGAGTCCATTCAGTAGGGCAATGTAGTAAAGACATGGTAAGTGGGTTAACCCCAGGTGTCCAGGAGTGAGTGCATGTCACTGTCTTTATAAAGAGCACTAATCCGTGCTCTAAAGGTTTAACTGAGGTTAGTGGGTGATATTCCTTTAAACATCTAATATAACTGAACTAATTAAAGGGACACTGTAGGCATCCACACCACTTCAGCTCATTGAGGTGGTCTAGGTGCTGTATCCCTTTTGCAGCTAGTACATGTTTACATTGCAGCACTAAGTCTACCCTCAGTGGCTGTCTACCAGTGGGGGCGTTTCCAGAATTGTAACGGACCTCTCCCTCTGCATGAGGACCTCCAGCGTCAGATTATTTCCAGCGAGGTCTAATGCATGTGCGGCACTTGCCACGCATGCGCATTAGACAGCACTAGTCGTGTGACATCGGAGGGGGCGGAGCTTTGACCCAGCGCTGACGGACATAGGTGCTGGGATAAAGTAAAAGGTTTTTAACCCTTTATTTACCGAGGAGGGGGGAGGCAGAGGGATCGGTAGTGCCAGGATTACAGCTCTGTATTCCTGGCACTACAGTATCCCTTTAAACTTTAACTATATACATTAATTATAGTACCGAAGAATACTTACCTGTACCTGGGACCTTAGAATCCAAAGTCTGTGTCAGAGCTGCTTGAGCTGTGAGAGCAGCTAAAGATAAATTGGCAGCACAAGTATAACCTACTCCCGAGTGCCAAAATCGTGGTGCGCGGGTGTAGCAAGATGTCCGCCCTCAATCTCGCGAGACGAGTGTAGCAAGAAGTCTGCCCTCCATCTCGCGGGTTGATCGCCAGGAGCCGTGAGTCCGGCCGGTGTCAAACTTGAGAGTGCAGCACGGCAGGGGGGGGGAAGGCTGGGACTCACTGGAAACCCAGAGGGAGGGAAACAAATGCAAGGGAGCCGGCAGGATTAACGGAAGGGCAGGGATAAAGCCCCAGCAAGCCTCAAAAGCCCCTTAAGATCCAGAACTGAAAGTATTGAGGGGTGCCAAGTAGCCAGAATAAGGTAACATGTAAAAAGTAATATAGATTTAAAAAAAAAAAAAAAAAACGATGCAGTTAATATAGAAGCACAGCATAACAAACAGCAAATCGTATCGAAATACAATTCCAAAACAACCCAAAGAGGCAATAGAAACAAAGTAATGGAGAGGAGTGATACTCTGACCTGTCTGCTTGATGGGGCAGCAAAGAAAGAGGAAGTGATTAGGTTATTATACCTCATGTACATCCTACTCCAGGCATAGGCAACCTTCGGCACTCCAGATGTTTTAGACTTCACCTCCAATGATGCTTTGCCAGCATTATGGGTGTAAGAGTATTATGGGTGATGTAGTCCACAAGGTTGCCTATCCCTGTCCTACTCTCTTGTGATTGTTTCTTTTTTTAATGTGTTTCTTTGATGCTGTGGAGCTAGTAAAGAGTGATTATACCAAATACGAAACCTCCTGTCATGTTGTACAATTCAAAGAAAATAATAGGTAGACAATAGAGTCTCAAAGAAAAAAATGGAACTCTAAAAAAAATTCACATGCCGATTACATAAATAAACAAGCATTCACACACATATGTATTCAATAGCGCGCACAGTCAATCACAGATATCACATACATTTTAAAACCATTGAAGTGGATCTGAAGGCACCTAGACATGATTTCAATAGCAAAAGCCTAAACACATTAGTGAATGTGATCTACATGTAGAAGTAATGATTTCTGGTCTGTTCAGACACTCTCCTGCTCTTTGCTACAACAAGAAAGGCTGATGTCGGTGAAGGAGGATAATAAAAAAAGGGGGAGGGAAAATAGGAAGGAAAATCAATCATTTAAAGGCTGTCTAAAATTGGATGCCCTGAGTAACAAGTGTAGTCTGTTCTGGGAATCATCAGCCATTACCAAAGCAGATTTTTGGAGGGTGTTTCATAGGCTCCAAATACCCAGCTGACAGGTCACAGCCTGCGAGTATGAACAGGAGGATATAAATAGGAGCAATTCAAGGCAGCACAGAAGTTTACAGAACTTTCTCGGCTGCAAGTTCCAATGTTTATTATAGGCTCTGCCCAGTATTTGCAGCTTGCAGTCAGAGGATCAAGACACTGTTCTTCTGCTCAGTGATTCGGCATATTTCACTGAGGATTTTAGCCAGCTTTTAATTCATTTTGGCCCATCCTTTAGACTCTGGAAATATCTGTTCTGCACCGAAGATCCTTCTCCTGTAAATCTTCCTTTTTGATCAGATTTTTACAATTAATACCTTTTTTTGGTTGGCATTTTCCAGATTTGTTGACTCTGAAGACATAAAATGGCTGATGGTCAATTTCCCTTCACTTGTCAGTTCCCTGTCACCAGAACTAGAACCCGTGATCCTTTCCGAGATCCATTCTTGGATGATGATTTTGGCATTTCTCCATTTCCCGATGATTTAACCATGGACTGGCCAGAATGGGCAAAACGCAGGATTCCAGAATCTTGGCCTAGCACTATGAGACAAGGCTCTGTGCGGACCTCTAACATACCACCCCCTGTTTACAGTGCCAGATACACAGGTCACCCAGAGCCTCGCAATTCTGTGGCCCCTACCAGCCAGCCATGGAAAGTGTGTGTTAATGTGCAAACTTTCAAGCCGGAGGAGATAACGGTCAAAACCAAAGATGGATTTGTAGAAGTTTCAGGTGAGTGGTTAATATAAAAATCAATATATTGAATATAATGCTACGGTTTCTATAAATGTATACCAGTTCTGCTGCATCAGCCACTTGCAAGTCACTCTCTATTGATCAAAGCATAGATCCCTGCCAATATATGCTGAATATAAAATATCCTTTTTTAATATGCAATGTTTGTCAGTAGTGAAAGCATAGTGCGACCACAAATAGAAACCAAATGGCCGACCCCTAGTGCCTCGTGTTAAACCACAGGCCCTATTTTTGCATGCTCGTTTATGCGGTTATTCCATTAGATCAGTTAACAAGGAGTATAAATGCCATTCATTCCCCTTAAGATTGTAACATTCCAGACTCAAAGACAGAGGCAGCAGGCATGCTGACCTTAGAATCTCCACAATGAATGTAAAATAAGACTAATAGGCAATAATAAAATGGCACATGCTTGAACAATTTCAAGTCTGAAAAAAAAAATTGTCACAATATGTTGGCTTTTTTTTTTTAGTTAAGAAAAATACCAAGGAAAGAAACACTTATATAAACAAAAAAATCATATTACCATTGAAACAGAAAATATATATACACAATTTCCCATATTGTAATTGCTTACATTCTAACACCTTGAAGGAACCCGCAGCTATTTCACAAATAACTCTAGAATAGATCATTGGGGTCAATTCACTAAACAATATGTTGAAATGACGAATCAACGTTAAAAAGACAAAGGAATTATTTTGCAGTCTTGTGCACCAATCCATTCATCTGTGCTGAATGAATCAAATTCCTGATAATCACTGGATGAACGAATCAAATTATTATTATTATATTATTCTTTATATAGCGCCAGCAAATTCTGTAGCGCTGTACAATGGGATCACAAACGAATTAATTCTTTCATCCAGCAAATAACAGGCATTTGATTCATTCTTGACAGCTGAATGGGATTTGTGCACAAGTCAATTATCTTGTTACCAAATTGGCTGCTCAGTAAATAGACTTGTATGGTTCACCTGTTGCTGCCAAATAAGAGAAAACAGGTGCTCATATGTGTTTACCAGAATTTTACATCTAAAGTTCTCTTTAGTTCTCCTGAGCCTGTATATGTGTACATTTCCTCATACTATAACATGGGCTCTGTATAAAACTACTGGAACATCAATTCCAATCATGGTTGTTTGCATTATCTACTATCTGTCGAGAATAACTTGTGTTTTAACATACATAAAATAAAGAAATACTTATTACATGGCATGCAGCTATAAAACTAGCGCAAAGGATGACATTATCTGCTAGTGAGGCACAGTGTCAGGGTTATTTACTAAACTGGGAACCCAAATTGACCATCACTGAGAAATGACAAGATAATTTAATATTGTGGGCCAAAATATCTAAACTGTATAAATGTTGCTTCTGATCTACATTTCCAGGTAACCTATTTTGACCAGACACTTTAAAGGGACTCTCCAGTGCCAGGAAAACAATCTGTTTTCCTGGCACTACAGGTCCCCTCTCCCTCCCACCCAGGTTGCTGAGGGGGTTAAAGCCCTTCAGTGACTTACCTTTATTGAGCGCCGATGTCCCTCAGCGCTGGCTCAGGGTCCGCCCACACTCCTATTGCAAATGCGCATTAGACCTCCCCATAGGAAAACATTGAAAGAAGTTTTCAATGCTTTCCTATGGGGATTTCAGCGACGCTGGAGGTCCTTACATAGCGTGCTGACGTCCAGCGATGCTATAGCACACTTTTCGTGTGCTATAATCACGGTAGTGCCCTCTAGTGGCTGTCTAGGAGGAGTTAACCCTGCAAGGTAATTATTGCAGTTTATGAAAACTGCAATAATTACACTTGCAGGGTTAAGGGTAGTGGGAGTTGGCACCCAGACCACTCCAATGGGCAGAAGTGGTCTGGGTGCCTGCAGTGTCCCTTTAAATTCCATTGTCAATTCACCACACTTTCCATTTTATTAAACAATCGGGATACTATGCCTGATGCAACAGATTTTAAGTAAAAAAAATGTGTAGTCCAGAATGACAGATAAATTATTTTCCAGCAGAAAACCATCAAAAGCTTTTCTCAAGAGTCTCAAAATATAAACAGTGTTAAACAGTATAATGTGAATTGCCAAGACTTCAAAGTGAATTTCAAACCTCTAATTGAAAAGTAATAATATGGTGGAAAATATTAAAAGAACTTTTCATTCCCAAAAATTAAGACTTTAATGAGCATCCCCGATGATGATCATATCTGAGACTAGGGCTGGAGAAGACTCAAATTTCTCAAAACTTTCAGATTTTTTTAAAGGAAATTATATGTTTGTATTTAGCCTGCACCCAACTTATTTGACATTAAAGGACCACTACAGCTACATAAAAATGTAATCAGAATGAATAATTTTCCTGAAGAGGTTAAAGGAACACTCCACTGTCCATATAAGAATATAACATATGAGGTCACTGTTAAGTAGATACCATTTCCATGCATGTATTTATTGGAGACATATCTTAAAACACTTTGTAAAAGCTGCAGTTCTAATGAACTGCAGCCTTTGCAAGCCTTCCCCTGTTTCTCCAGAATAGACGTTTAGTCTGTTCAGGGGCAAATGCCCAATCAGAGGGTTCTCATTGAGAAGTCTCTGAAAGGGTTCCTCCAAGCATGCACTTTGGCTGTGTACTTGCGTGCACAAGCAATATACTGTACTGATCTGAGTTTTGGACGCTGGCCTGAGGTCAAGCTGAATTACTTTGTGGGTATGGAGTGGTCCTTTAAACCATTAACGGATGGTTTAACCCCAAAGTCTGCAAGATGGTGCCCAATTACCAAAGGTTTTATGTCAGGACTGGACATTGCTTGTAGCTCACCATTGCTTTAAAACACTGTAAAACATACATACTTTTTGCACTTTTTTTTCTCAGTGGGGAGCTTCTGATAGGCTGAGGGCACCCGCTAATGCTCTCAGTCTATCATTGATACCCAGGTCTGAGGCTTCAACCAAGAAGGGAAAGTTCAGGGATGGAGTGGTCGGGCTCCATCTTGCAGACTTTATAGTAAAACCATTTGTTTGCGGTTTAACCCCTTCAGATAAGCCAGAGTCTTTTTTTTTTTTTAAACTGGAATGTTATAGCTGAAGAGCTCACTTTTTTTTAAATTATATTTTGCCAGGAAGGATACATTGATATGTTCTCTCATTATATATTATATTATTATTATTATTAATATTATTACTTCTACTACTACTACTACTGGTAATTATATAGCGATAGCATAGTCCGTAGCGCTTTACAATATTATCAAAGGGGGAGATTTAACAATAAATGAGAATTACAAAAACTTACAGGAACAATAAGTTGAAGAAGATCCTGCTCAAACGAGCTTACAGTCTATAGGAGGTGGGGTGTAAAACCCAACAGGACAGGAGGTAGCAATCAAACAAGGTGTAGTGAAGCAGAGCTGGAGGAGAGAATAGAGTGCTGCCCTTTAGGAGAGAGCAAGGGACGGGAACGTGAGGTAGAGAATACTCTGCGAGGCCATAAGCTTTCCTAAAAAGATGGGTTTTAAGGCACTTTTTAAAAGATTGAAGACTAGGGTGGTCGTAGGCAGGATATTCCAAAGGAAAGGAGCCACCCGTGAAAATTCCTGCAAGTGTGAGTTGGCCATACAGATAAGAGCAGTGGACAGGAGGTCATGGGCAGAGCAGAGAGACCAAAAAGATCAGTGAAGAGATATAGGAGGGCTTAGAATTGATCAGTGCTTTACAGGTGTGGATTAGTACCTTGAATTGACTCCTATAGGATACAGGAAGCCAATGTAAGGACTGACAGAGGGGAGAGGTATGAAGGGAGTGACAGGAGAGGAAAATCAGTCTAGCTGCAGCATTCATTACGGACTGTAGTGGTGCAATATGACTTGTGCGAAGACTTATTAGGAGAGTTACAGTAATCCATGCAAGAGATTACTAGAGCATGGACAAGATGCATAGTAACATCTTGCGTAAGAAAGGGGCAGATGCGGGCTATGTTTTTAAGGTGGAATCTACAGGATTTGGTAACAGACTGGATGTGAGGCCAGAATTAAGTATAATGCCAAGAGAGCGTGCTTGCATGGATGGACTCATGTGGGTACAACTAACGTGAAAGGAGAGCGAAAGAGGAGGATCAGCATTAGGAGAAGGAAAGACAAGAAGTTCAGTTTTAGAGTGATTGCACCACTACAGTCCGTAATGAATGCTGCAGCTAGACTTCAAATATTGGGAGGACATCCAGTCAGAGATGGAAGAAAGGCAAGCAGTGACACGTTGCAGGACGGCAGGGGAGAGGTATATCTAAGTGTCATCAGCGTACAGGTGGTATTGGAATCCAAATGAGGTAATAAGTTTACCAAGAGAGGCAGTATAAAGAGAAAATAGAAGGGGACCAAGCACAGAGCCTGGGGGGACTCCAACTGAGACAGGATGGAGGAAGGAGGTATCATTAGAAAAGTAGGCACTGAGTGAGCGTTGAGAGAGAGAGGAGGAAAACCAAGAGAGAACAGTGTCACAGAGACAGAGTGATTGAAGAGTTTGGAGAAGGAAAACATGGTCAACAGTATCAAAGGCAGCAGAAGAATTAGTATGGAGTAGTGCCCTTCGGATTTAGCTGTGATTAGGTCATTAGCGGCTTTAATAAGAGCAGTCTCAGCAGACTGGAGGGGTGGAAGCAAGACTGAAGAGTGTCAAGCAGAGCAGTTGAAGATGTGTGTTAAGAAAGGCACAAGACAAGAGGAGAGAGTTCTGATAAGGTGAGACGGAACAGGATCAAGCGGGCAAGTGGTGGGGCGAGAGGAAAGGAGAAGCGCAGCCACCTCTTGTTCAGTAGCCTGGGAGAAAGTCTGAAGGGTAGGAAAGGCATGATTCAGGTGTGGTTGAGAAAGAGAGGAGGAAGGCGGTGAGAATCCTTTCCTTAGCTGTTCAATCTTGTCGGTAAAGTAGCATGCAAAGCTATCGACTGTAAGGTTAGTTGGGGGTGGCCACAGCAGGGCAAAGAATGGAGTTAAAGGTATTAAAAAGACCCTGGGATTGTGGAGCTAATGAGAGAGACAAAGTATGACTGTTTGGCAAGGGCAAGGGCTGTGCTGTATGAACACAACATGAATTTGTAGTGGAGAAAGTCTGACTGGGTGCGTGACTTCCTCCAGTGGCTTTCAGCAAAACAGGAGCATCTGTGCAGCTAGTGTGTTAATTTAGTGTGCCACAGTTGGGGGCGTGTTCGCCTCAAGGTGCATGTTTGGAGCGGGGCTGCAGCGTCCAGGGCAGAGGTGAGGGTAGTGTTATATGAGGAGATAGCCAGTGAGGGACAGGAGATAGTAGGGATGGATAGAAGTTGGGAATCAATATTAATAGCTGCTAGACGTCAATATAATTCAGATTTATTAGTTGAAAGCAGTTTTGAGGCTACTGAGGACAAGGGTAGGTTAATGGGAATGGTGAAGTCCCCAAGAATTAGGGATGGAATATTAGAGGAGAGGAAGTAGGGAAGCCAAGCAGCAAAGTGGTCAAGGAAGAGGAGAGGGGAACAAGGGGGATGACACATAACGACAATGTTAGCAAAGATGGGTTTGAAAAGGCGAATTGAATGAAATTCAATTAAGGAGAAAGAGAGGGAATGGGGGATGGGTAGAGTTCTGAAGGAGCAGTAAGGTGAGAGCAGAAACCCTACACCACCACCTTCACTTTCAGAGTGCCTTGGGTTGTGGGAAAATTGAAGACCACCAAAGAATAGAGAGGCAGGGCTAGCGGTGTCAGAGCCATGTTTTAGTTAAGGCTAGTGGAATAAGAGATTAAAAGGTTGTGCACAGCAGTGGATTTAGTAACACTGCAGTTAAACTGTATTTGTGTGTAGCTATTTTTATTGCCAAAGTTGTTGATTTCTAGAGCATTAAACTCTCAGTGTATGTAGACTGACTGCTGAACATGCACGCTCTCTGACTCAGTAGAATCTTTGTAATTGGCTCTTAAAGAAATGTTTCGTAGGGTCGTTGCATCAAGTAAATCCCGCAATATAAATATGTAAGACTCAAATTATGTATGAGTTGCCTTGTTGCTCTCTTGTGTTTTTGTTTTTTTGTTTTTTTACACTGCTGATATACAAAGGCAAGCTGCCATTTTACATGAATGCAGCCATCACACATTCAGCTGAAAATGATTAATGTGGCTGCAGCCTGTTACTGGGGAATAGACTTGGACTCTATCTAGCACAACAGGACCAGCCCATTACTGGCACTTTACTGTATTCTTAAACTGCTTTGTCATCTCATGAGAAGGTTATGTCCTTGTATGCTTTATTTCTTACCAGCAACTTTAGCAGGCTTATAAAATAACAATGAATAATAATCATCAGCAACTAATAATTGTATTAAACAGGCAGGTATCTTCCCCTCTGCCTTTTCCTCTCCCAGGTGGATATTGACCCCTTTGCCTACATGGTCTTCATCTGTCTTTGCAGAGGCACATGTGGCTCTCAGACCTTTCTTAGCTTGTCCTGGAAATCAGAGACCAGTGCAGCCAGTCAGTGGGTCTGGGGTTTAGTTGCTGGGTTCCCTGAACAAACCAAAGGAGGCACACAGATTCCATTGGAACTAACACGCAATACTTTATTTATACTCAGACGATACACATTACATTACACTTAAGGCAACACACTCAATTACATATGCAAAACATTATCCTATGGGGAATCATACAGGCACTCATATAACACAATACAATATTTATAAAGTGGAAGACAAATACTGGCAAGAAATGCATCCCCTGCCTGCTTAAACCATAATATGCGAATCTACCTGAATATCCAAATTAACGACACCAGAGGTGTCAGACATACACGAACAAACAGTTCCATAACTCCCAACAGCAAACCCAGTCACAAATAATCCCAGCCCACGGTGGAGATCAACAACTATACTAAATTAGGGGAAGGGCAGAGTTTATATGGTCCCAGCAATGTCGACTACCGTCTCAATTGCTATACACAACACATAGACATACATTTATACAGTATATACTTGTATACATACTAGGATGTCCCCACCTAGGACATCTGATTACGTTAAGGTCTTTATAAATGGAAATGCTGGCTTTTTACTGTCACTTCATGGTAAAGCTATCCAAAAGGTAGTTTTAAAACATTTGGGGATCTACCTTTTGAGCACCCCTGATTCATACTAAAGAAAAATTTCAATAAACATTTACCATTATTATTATTAAATATTTATTACAAATAGCCTCAGCAAAAGCAAACGACTTGGTTATCTTTGGTTACATTGTTGTTGGCAATAAAACATTATCCACACAGGTACATAAAACACAGGGATCTAGCTGCCCACCTGCTTCTGTTGATTCGTTACAATCTCCATAAGTCATCAACCCCCATGTTGCTAGCTGCCAGAGTGCTATGGGTGTTGTTACATAGTCAGTCTTTAGCTAAAGGTAGTGTTTCTCAAAACCTCCTCAAATACAGGCAACTCAGAACTTCTCTAATTATATTATGGATAGGTTTTGATAGCACAGTTAAAAACTACATGCAGTTAGTACATTAAAGGACGGGGCCAAGGGTATTTTTAAGAAACTGAGGGATTATAAGTAAGGAATAAGCAGTAGCAGTAGTTTGGGAGTAAAGTTCATAGAGTGAAGCAATAAACAGGTGCATTCCATTGGTGTTCATAGTGATTGTTTCACATTTACAACTTAGCCTCTAGTACAGCTTTTCAACCCCCACTATGTCTTAAAATAGAATCATTTTAGATGGCCTCAATGACAGCTGAAAAGAGTGGCAGCTGTATCAGTGGGATAAATATATGAGAATGTTTCAAGGGTCAAAATAGGACAGGGAGCATCCATATAATTAATAAGATAATATTACTAGTAAATTGGTAATGACTCATAAAGTAAAAATTTCTTTGTATGAACCCAAAAAAGAAAGATAATGTCATGAAATCATTTACAGATGTATGTTGTCAAAGGTGATTGAACATATACTGAAACCTATTTAAATGAAAAAATAAAAAAATATGTCAAAAAATGTGTTATGTTTAAGAAAGTTTGCATGAAATATTTATCTTCACATATATAAAATATATTAAATATATTTAATATAACAATTAGCAACAGTTTGTTAACTAAATAGTAAGTAGACCTGGAGTCCGATTTTGTACGAAATAGGGTCGAGTTCAATTTCGCGAACTCTGAGCAAAAATATACCCGAATCATGAACCAACCAAATTACACAATGACTAGGCATTTCCTTTTGAGTCAAGATTGTGATTTCTGACCTTGGCGCTACAATGATTGATGGATAGGGTACGGCCACTAAATGCTGATGTTATCTACAGATCAAGCAAGAAGTTAGCAAGGTAAAAAAAATAAAAAAAAATAAAAGATTTTACTAAATATACATAGATTTTATTTTATTTTTTTACTACACCAGTTTTTTTCTATATTGGTTACTTTTTCTCATCTGATCTGTGAACCAAATAGTGTGAAAATGTTCATATCAGTGTACTGCAAAATATATACATAATATTATATTATGGATCGACCAATTATCGGTCTGGCCGATATTATCGCCCGATATTCTGTATTTTCAACAATATTGGTATCGGACAATATATATACCGATATTGCCAATAATGCAGACAGGGCCGCCATCAGGGTCCTGTGGGGCCCAGGACACGCTTACTCGCCTTCCCAGCAGCACACGGCCCGTGAGTTAGACAGGGAAGCTGAAGGGAGCTGCTGGGAAGGTAAGTAAGAGTGTACTGGGCCCCCAGGGAATGCCATATCCCCCCTCCCTGGCCAGGTAAAAAGCAAGGAGGGACTAAAGCAAAATGTTAAAAAATTAAATATTTAAAAATAAAAAAAAAGTTTAAAAAATAAAAATGCCCCCCCTTCATTTTACATACCTACACAAACACTCACTGCACAAACACACACTCTGCATTCATTATATACACAGACTACACAAACACACTACATTCACTATACACAGACTATACACTGCATTTACTATACACACACTACACAAACACACTCTGCATTCATTATAGACACACACCACAAACACACACTGTATTCACTATACACACACTACACAAACACACACACTGCATTCATTAATCAAATACTCTCACTGCATCCACTACACACACATATACTTGAAAACAAAAAATTCTGACTGGCATGTATATTTTGTGCATTTACCTTAATAAAAGAAAGATTTAAAAAAAAAAATAGAAATAGTTTATTTTTATTAAATGGTAAATGTACAGAATATCGGTATCGGTAAGTTTTTGGCTATCAGCCTGAAAGTTCACAGATTAACGGCATCGGCTCTAAAAAATCAATATCTGTCGATCCCTAATGTACATTTTGCAGAACACTGATTGGTCCATTTCCAAACCCTTTCGGTCCATCCGATTTGGTTACCATATCAGTTTTTTCAGAACAGAAATTTTGCTAAGCCGCATTGATATTTGGCTGAAAATTAAGGCATCCTAAAAAAATTCAGTTTTTTGGAAAAATGGGACAGATTTTCTCACTGTGAACCTGGGTAATAGTAAGCATACCTACCAAAATGTCCCACCGTCCTGGGTTAGTTCCCTAGTTTTTTTTGGCATCTCTGGATGCCAGGGAAATGTCTCCAAGCTAGTGTATTTTTAGATGATAGACATTACTAGATGTCGTCATGCTCTGTGCACAGCTATTATTTTATTATTTAAATAGCGCCAACAAATTCCGCAGCGTTTTTCAGTGGGTGGATGAAGTAACATGTAGTTGTAATAAGACAAGTTGGACAAACAGGAACAAAGGGGTTGAGGGCCCTGCTCAATGAGCTTACATGCTAGAGGAAGTGGGGTAAAGTGACACAAAAGGTAAGGATAGTATTAGACTAATGACAGTTGCAAGAGAGGAATCAGTTGTAAGCTATTAAGCTATTAAGCTATTAACAGTTTAATTGATACGCTTTTATGAAGAAGTGGGTTTTGAATGATTTTTTTGAAGGAGTGGAGACTGGGTGAGCATCTGACGGAGGAGGGAAGTGAGTTCCACAGGAACTGTGCAGCCCTTGAGAAGTCTTGAAGGCAAGCATCAGAGGTGGGAGTACAGACAGAAGATAGACGTAAGTCTTCAGCAGAGCATAAGGGCCTAGACAGGACATACTTGTATATTAGAGAGGATAGATAGGTGGGAGCAGCATTATGTAGTGTCTGCACTGTGTGGGACCAAACAGACACGGTGCCAGTCTGGTGGGCAGGCATGGCAGAATTACCTCTTTGCAGAGTAGGCCCACACCCATTACTTGTGGGCCCTTTTGGGCCCTCCCACTTACTCTACCAGCAATCCAATTCTACTGGGTTGAGCAAAGAACCAGAAAGTGACATTGGGCGTTTCATGAAAACGAACAACATCTGGTCAAACTTTGTATAACATAGTGAGAGACATTCTATTGGTTATGTTGTATGGTGAGATACCCTGTATTTGTTGGGCTATATGAAGCATATGATAAGAGGACTTTTCTAGTGTTAACAAATGAAATAAGCAAGTACTGAAAAATATATTACTTTCACCGACTTTCTTAGTGATTGTGTGAGTTGGCAAAAGGTGCAGATGTTAGCCAACAAGCCAAGAAAGAAACACATAGTGAGAATGGAGAAAAAGCTTAATAGCCTACCCTATGTTTAGTTCTGGGTTATAATTTTATATGTATCAGCTAGCACGTGTCATTACAGAAGGAACCTATGCTATTCAAATTACCCAGAGTGGCATTCCAGAGCCAATATGTCAAGCAGGCCCTTCTACTCTGGAGACATAGCAAACCCACACAATCATTTCATCCTCTTACAAAGCTTGTCAGTGAGAAACAGCTGATATAACTAAAGGCACAGTGAGCAAGGGTGTTCATTTTGGGATACACCTTGAACACAGAAGATGACATTATCTCTATAATGGCAAATGTAAGCTAAAACCTGTTTGAAACTAAAGGAGCTTAGGAAACCATAATTTTCATTTAAAGTGACACTCCAGACTCCTAAAGCACTTTAGCTTGCTGACGTTCTCTATGTGTAGCATGTCCTCTCTTCATTTTACAAAAAAATAAATTATGCAGATTTCTATAAAAATTGGCACTATAATAAATAATGTTTTATAAAGTGATTTTTTTTTTGTATTTGGGCAGTGGAGTAGCTTCTTGTACATTTGAAGTTCAAATAGTGGTGACTCCCTGCCTATTTGCATACTAAGGTGTTAAATAGAACATTATTATATCACCTTTTCTCACACCTGGAGAAGGTTTTAGTCACAGTCCGTACAAGGTTTTAGGTGCAGTCAGTACTTTTTGTGCAAAGTAGGCATTGACCCAACTGTGAGTGCCATGATTGGGTGGGTAGGATTAGCTATGCTTTGATCAGCTAATCACGTAACAAAACCTGTAATTTGTATTTTGTTTATACTCTTAGTCCTAACCTGAATTGGCTATGCAATTGTTATTTTTTTATTTTTTTTTATTTACACTGTGCGTAATATGGTAATAAAACAATACTTTGTATGTATAACTTGTTCAACCTGTTTTAAGCAATTTTTTATGTCTCTGCATGTCTGTTTAAAAAGCACAAGATCATCCATTAAATCACTGAGCCAAAAATGAAGTCATGGTTGGTTTTGTCCATGGTAAAGAGGGCGGAAAGCTCACCACCATGTTGAGACACTGGGCCATGCGTTGTGTGTGTGAAGACAGACCTTACACACTTCATCAGGAACATGGCAGAGTCTTGCTATGGCCATCTTACAGGCAGATAGGGCAATTTGCCTGTTTTGGAAACTTATGAAAGAGTCTGAAATAAAATGTCTATAAAAAAAATATATGACTGCAAAGAAACTGACGAAGCTGTAAAATCCAGAGTAGAGGAGGGAAATAATATTGGAGGAATGGCTGGAATCCTGGGGTAGATTGACATCGGAGCTGTGGTGGACAAAGATTTGCAGTGGGACAGTAAGAGCTTGTGTAAAAAAAAAGAAAAAAAAAGTGTTGAATTGAAGGGGGCATTGAGACTAAAGTGGATATCTAGGCTGATGGGTTGGAGATGCACAGAATGCAAATAAAAATGAGGAAATCATTCATTAAAAATGTAAAAAAAAATTATGGTTTAGGATTGTCAGTCATTCGATGAAAGGTGTGCATTTCAGTTGCATTTCAGACTTTGAAACGCAATCAAATCTGCTTGAAATTTTGAGGTGAGACCTCATAGGCTGAATAATAGGTATAGTACAGGAGTGGGGAAATTGTTGTTCCCCAGATGTTGTAGAACTGCAACTTCCATGATGCTCTGCCATTGTAAAGGCAGAAAAAGCATTATGGTAGTTGAAGTTCTGCGACATCTGTGGCTCTACCTTTTGCCCAGCCCAAGTCTACAACCATCAAAACTGGGAATAGAAAAGAATTGAGAAGGGAATTTCAAAATGTAAATTAAAATAGCTAAGATGGAAAATTAGCTGAGTTGTGTAACTTTCCAATGTTACCATTTTGGTCTACAATTGTAATTATCCTGTCAGTTCTCCACAATTCCATCTTTAGTTAGTAAATCATAGCCTTTATCTGCTGAGTACGTTTTATCTTTTATCTCTAGAGCCCAGGAAAAAAATAATCAAATAAAGGGTTTGTGATGGGAACCTGCAAGGGGGTAACCCTAAAAGGTTAAATACAAACAAACACATAAATGTCCAATGGACACAAAAGGTTCCTTTAAAAAATAAAATAAGTATAATAAGTACACAATTTTAGTTTAAGTTATTATCATAAGCAAAGAGACATTAGAAAAACAAGAAGATAACATTAACAATAGAACCATTAAAAAGAGCCTAAAAGGCTCTACAGATAATGGGGGTGAGAGGTTGGAGTGGGCTTATAGAGGCTGGCTAGAAGGGATAAGTGTAGAAGCAGAACAGACTACAATAATCAAAGTCAGATAGCAAGCCCAGTGTTCCCTATATTCATATGCACACACACACACACACACACACTCACACACACACACACACACACACACATAAGGAGACTATTGCAGATAAGCAGGCACATCCTCATAGAGAGGAAACTAGGTAACAATGTATCAAAATAAAGGACTACACCAGGTATAGGCAACCTTCGGCACTCCAGATGTTTTGTACTACACCTCCCATGATGCTTTGCCAGCATTATGGGTGTAAAAACATTATGGAAGATGTAGTCCAATACATCTGAAGTGCCGAAGGTTGCCTATCCCTGGACTACACTATCTAAATGTTCAAGGTATAATGTCTAGCAGTCCATGTGAAAAAAGGACATAAGAAAAAGGCGTCAAACCAACTGCAACACCCATATTCAGTTTCTGCAGTCCCAAGGTATATTTCTATTATGCAGTCAATTAGAATAGAGGGGAGATCACGGGAGGGCTTGCAACAGTTATTGATAATAACAATGTAACCGCCTAATAGGTTAGACATATAGTAGTCATAAAGAAAAAACACCCGTGCATAACGAGTGATAAGTTAATTAAAAAAGAGGAGCAAAGAATCTGCCCGAGGCGCATTTCGGCACAGCTAATGTGACTTCGTCGGGGGTATTCACTCATCACTCGTTATGCACTAGTGTTTCTTTGTAGGTTATTACAGATATCTTTAAACTAGAGGGAGGAGGGGTAATGAGCAATGGCAACAGAACTCCAGTCCATTTGTCCCCTGTTCCCACCACCCATTCTCAGGGTTATCCACCTCGAGTGACCAGGGGTTCTTCATCCGATGAGCCTCTATACCTGGGAGCCCCAGCGCAGACAAAGAAAGCCAACCAAACCACCATTGTCCCCAAAGAGTGTCCCCACCATTCTCAGGGACCCCCAGAACGGTAACTGCCATGGGTGAAACCAAGCAAGGGAAGCATCTTCTTTTGGGACATGAATGTTCGTCCATACGAACAGCGGCCACCCAGGGAAGCACTCATTAATTACTTCCCTTGCGGTTTCACACTTATGTTGCAAGTTGTCCAAATTCTAGTTGATTGGAGCGAACATTCCAAGGTGCACTTGGGAGGTCCTCATTCGGAAACCGAATGAGGTGGGAAGCAATTCATGAATGCTCCCCCTGGATGGCGTTCGTCTAACGAACGGTCCGCCACCCAGGGTAGACGTGTGCCGAGGCTTCCCTTGCAGTTTGTGTTTTTTTTTTATATAATTCTTTATTTTTGCAGGTGATGCGTTATAAAACTGTACAGAATGCAAAATACGTATGGCATGTTTGGTACACGTTAATATCCAGTATTGTACATTAACTATACAAGTATCTAACACCTGATTTTTATTTTTGTCACTAACAATTAAACTGGTAGTCACGTCTCTGGTACCGGGCTCTCCTATTGTTCTATCGTTTCGGCCTTAGTAGGGTTTTATAGTCGAGTGTTAGGAGCCCGTCCGTTTGCACCAGGGCCTAATTGGCCCTCATGGTTGTCTAGTCCTGTAGTTGGTTGTTTATATGTGAGTGAGATATGTGGTAGACTCAGAAACAAGGAACTTATTCCTCCAGTGTCTCTATAGGGGGTTATGATAAAGTGTCGGTTATTGACACTTGCATATAGTCTGCATGTGTAGGTTGAGGCTTGGTCCCTAACCTAAGGGTATGTCGGGGGGGGGAGGTGTGTATGATATAGTCGGTATTGAATGGGTGCTATTATGGACGTCTCTAGGATTACGACTGTCTAGGTGCACAGACTTTTCTAGAGCTTCCGTCAGGTTAACATGTATAATTCCAATTACGAGGTAATAGCAACTTAAAAAAAGTGTAATACAATGCTAAGAATAAAAAAGGTAGAAATAATACAAAAAAAAAAACTTATGTTGCAGCATGAGTAAGGGTGACACTATGTAACAGCATCCTGTCCATTCCGTGGGGTGAAGGGTGTTATATTGTCCACATCCCATATCCCGTTAGCATCTTTGGCCCTTGGTTTCTGTGGGGCATTACTGATGCCTATTGCCGGATGTAGCTGTGGGGATCGTGGAGCTCGAGAGATGGCGTCTGTGCTGGTCGCCTGTCAGGCCCAGCCCCCCTGCAGTTTGTTGTTTTGATACCTCATTACGAGATGCGAACGTTCTAAGACAACATTCTAATTGGGGTTTCATGGTGGTCACCGTTCGAGAGGTGAATGGATTCCCTTTGTGACCGCACCTCCTGAATGGGTAGCAGGCAGTTTTAGGCAAGCACTCATAGCAAACTAAAGGGGCAAGATAAGGAAAATACTGAAAGGGGAGGGAGAACATATGCCCAAAACAGTACACACACACACACACACAACCGGGAAATCAGGGCAATGCAGTTTAGCAGCAGTCCCGCTACAGTTACTTCTCGACATATCATATCATGATGGTACACTTATAGTTGAGCTATAGCTTAGAAATAGTTAGCGACCTTGAAGTGGCATTATATCTAAATAGCTTTATGAATGCTTATCTATTTGGGTGTTCTTTTATAGCAGACTTTTGACTATTTTGTGTCTAATCAATTAGGTTACCCTACATTGTTATTATCAATAACTGTTGCAAGCCCTGCTGTGATTTCCCCTCTATTCTAATTGACTGCATAATAGAAATATACCTGGGGACTGCAGAAACGGAGTGTGGGTGTTGCAGTTGGTTTGACGCCTTTTTCTTATGTCCTTTTTATGCATGGACTGCTAGACATTATACCTTGAACATTTAGATAGTGTAGTCCTTTACTTTGATACCTTGTTACATAGTTTCTTCTCTATGAGGATGTGCCTGCATCTCTGCGTGCGTGTGTGTGTACATATGCATATAGGGAACACAGAGCTTGCTATCTGACTTTGATTATTGTAGTCCGTTCTGCTTTTACCCCTATCCCTCCTAGCCAGCCTCTATAAGCTCACTCCAACCTCTCCCACCCCCATTATCTGTAGAGTCTTTTAGGCTCTTTTTAAGGGTTTTATTATCCATGTTATCTTCATGTTTCTCTAATTTTTATTTGCTTATGATTATAACTTATAATAAAATTGTATACTTATTCTTATTTTGGTTTTTCAAGGGACCTTTTGTGTCCTTTGGACCTTTGAGCCCATTGGACATGTATGTGTTTGTTTGCAGGAATAAAAGAATGACTCCTCTTTTATTCAGGAAACGTTAGGAAAATAAAACATGATTTTTCTGTTTTTGGTTGGGTCACTAGATTTTAGGTAATGACTGAGCAGTGAGTATATCTTTCTCAGATCTTTAATGCTCTGCCACATGCACACTTGAATTTTAACTGAACTAGTGTTCAGTTTTGGACACCTTACCTAAAGTTTAAGGAAGTTTAAAGGAAATTTATAGAAAACATAAGGAAATAGCCAATCAATCTGACACAGTAAATAGTAATACAATGAAAAACTAAAAGCTGTTTATTTGGGAAATGGGTAGACTAGATAGGAAAGTCGGCTTTTATCTGCAGTTAAAATATTTTCCAAACAATTCTGAGTCTATAAGTCCTTGGGTGTGAACTGATAATGCCAAGACTTTGCACAGTAAGACACATAGGGATCTAACTGATACTAACTTTAAAACTACTAATTTAATGCTGCAAAGCATCAAGTGGGTAACACTTCCAGAAAAAAAAGTAATAAAAATCAGCTTTTTACATTGGGGGTATATCTAAAAACAGATTCTAATCGCTGCAGATCTCTTGTCTGTAGCTTTTGGGAACTCTCCCCTTCTAAGCTTGCACAGACATTATGTGACTGTCCAATTACAGACTTCCCAATGAGAAGGCTTTGGAAGGCAGGTGCTCTGGACTATTGCTGCCTATTGAGTTTAGCTCAACCAGCTAACCAAACCAGGAAGTAACAGATTATTTTTTTTATTATTTACTGACAGTCGGGGGTTGGGGGGTATTGTAACAAAATTGGCAATTTTGTAAAATGAAAAAAAAAAAAAAAGAGGATATGCTTCAGACATAAGCAAGAATCTCATTATCAGCAGGGTGTTAGTTTCATTCAGCAACTCAGCACTAAACACAAAGTGAGCAACTTGGATTAAGCAGCTGTTTAAGAATGGATTGACTAAAAGACGGAGTTCAGGAAAATTACAGCCTATTCAATAAAATTGATTAGTTATTAAAGCAAGTTACTATGAATTGATGACAGACAAGAGAACCTAGAAGGACATTCTTGGCTACATGGTGAAATTGTACTGGGTGCGCCGCAATCAACATGTTGACACAGACGTGATCTTCATCCATAACAAACTACCCTTTTCAATGCAGCCTATTCCTCAGTTCAATCACAAATCTTCTTGCAATGGCAGTGACATTTATACTGGAAGCCTCACCCTCCTACAGTTCACTGATGCTTATTAAATCTAATCCAACATGCCCAAAAGGATGACTTCCAGTCAATTTGTTTAATTTAATGAAAGCACTAATGAATTTTTCATCACACACTCATTCTGAGTGACAAAGCTGAACAGCCTGGCACTTCACTGTGTGACGTGTTACTGGCCCAGGAATGGAACTAAGGACTTTACAGTCTATATTTGGCTACTAAAACCCTGACCCCATCCCCCCGAATCACTAGCAGGTGCCTCTTGCTGAATCACTCCAGCCCTCTCTATTTCCCATGCTTTATGACACACAACATATTAGCATATATAATTCAACTACATTAACAGAATATCACATTCTAATTTGCAACACTAATATAAGGAGACAAAATGTATCGTGTTTTTATAATATATATACACAAACAAAGCAAGCCAAGTACAATTTGATACATTTTCCTTTTTTTTGCCTTTGTTTGATTTTTGTCACCTTGCAAGTAATGCATTTTTAGGTCCAATAATTGCTCATATTACTTATTATACATACACACGTTCGTGTTTGTGTATATGTGTGTGTATGTATATATATATTTAAACATATATAATCCAAAAAATGGGTTGCATTCATAGGGTTTCAAATAAGTGAAATTGGTTTAATTCAACACATCAATTTACAGCATCCTGACCAATGTTTCGACCCCAGGATTTAGAGATTACCCAGTTGTGTCTAGGGTGTTTTTAGACGGAAAAGAAAACCCCTTGACACATCCCTAATTCCCAAATCCTGGACTGGTAGGCATGCCTTGAGGACTGGTTTGGAAACCACTGCCTTAGTGTCTTTCTTGTGATCTTGAGAAAGACCGTAATGGGTCAAAACGTCGATCAGGACGCTGTACTTTGTAGTGTTAAATTAAACCAATTTCACTTATTTGAAACCTTTTAAGGGCACCCCATTTTTTGGATGATTTGTACAACGTGAGTCTTGTCATGTAACACAATATATTGTGTATTATCGTGTTTGAAATTAATTTTGCTCTTTATACACTGAAAGGCAAAGTTTGAGCTGTAATTAAACTATAATTTTTATTAGGAGAAAAAGAATAGTGATGACTCTGATTCAGAGGTCACAATACCTGACCAATGAATTAGTGCCAAAAAGCCCTAAGATTACTCTCCCTATTTGGGGAATAACCCACGAAGTTAGTATAAAAAAGAGAGAAAGAAAGGGGACTAAAATAAGTCATCAGTGGGAGAGTAATAGTTGAGGGGAAGGGGTCCCTACCTTTAATAATCCTAAAGGAAAACACTAAATTAAAAATAGGACAGATGGGAGAAAGGAGTTTAAATGGTAAACCATCTAGAGACAGTTACAGAAAACAGGTGTCTGCTATAAGAAAGAGAGACTGCCTGGCAAATTCTAACCTAAAGGTTGAGCATCATGCGTCCTAAGTCTCATGGGTAACCAATCCAGGTGTATAGAAATAGCTAGAACACTGAGTCTGTATATAGAGGTGGAAAAAACCCTCTATAGGAGAAGTTAAACTACCCCAGATTTCCCCAAAACAGACTCCTATCAGTAGGAAGCTTTCTCTAGTTACCTCGGCACTGTGTTGCCACAAGTGCCTACCCGGATACCTAATCCCTATAAGTCCTAAAAATTACAAAGATTTAAACAACTAAATCCATAAGTGCTACCAAAAAGAGGTGAACAAAAAGAAAATAATTAAATAAAGTAAGCTCGACGCGCGTTTCGGCGTTTCAGCACGCCGTCGTCAGGAGCAATAAAGGTGCTTTTTTATAATTATTATTACCATTTTAAAAAAGATGCACATTTAAATATACTATTTTTTGTTTTAGGTAACCACGAAGAGCAACAAAAAGAGGGAGGGATAGTCTCCAAGAATTTCACCAAGAAAATACAGTAAGTAATGTTTTATGATTATCGCTATTCCAACCAGATGCTGTACTAAAACCTTCTCGGGAGTATTCACTAATGGATTCGGCTGAAATAGCTAAGTGTAAAGTATAGCTGGCTTGGAAATTTCTTTTTTTTTCCTTTATAATTCTTTATTTTCAAGATGCGTTGAGTTAACACAGTTAGCATGAGTGGTAGGCATATTAGTAGTAGTAGTAGTAGTAGTATTGCCATTTATATAGTGACAACAGATTCCGTAGCACTTTACAATATTATGAGAGGGAGATTAAACTATAAATAGGACAATTACAAGAAAATTTACAGTAACGAAAGGTTGTAGAGGACCCTGCTCAAACAAGTTTACAGTCTATAGAAGGTGGGGTATAAGACATGTTAGGACAGGAAATATCAAATAGGGTGGGAGTGAAGCAGAGCTGGAGGAGAGAGTACAGCACTGCCCTATAGGAGAGAGCAAGAGACAGGTATGTAAGGTAGAGGTTACTCTGGGAGGCTATAAGCTTTCCTAAAGAGATGGATTTTAAGACACTTCTTAAAGGATTGAAGACTAGGGGAGAGTCTGATGGGGGTAGGCAGGCTATTCCATAGGAAAGGAGCCGCCCGCGAGAAGTCCTGCAAGCGCGAGTTGGCCGTACGGGTGCGAGCAGCGGTCAGGATGTGGTCACGGGCAGAGCGGAGGGAACGAGGAGGGGCATACCTTTGGATCTGTGAAGAGATATAAGAGAGACTAGAATTGGTCAGTGCTTTAAATGTATGGGTTAGCACTTGAATTGACTCCTATAGAATACAGGGAGAGGGGTGAGGTGTGAGAGGACCGACTAGAGAGGAAAATAAGTTTGGCGGCGGCATTCATTACAGACTGTAGCGGGGCAATACTGCTTTTGGGAAGACCAATCAGGATAGGGTTACAGTAATCCATGCAGGAAATTACTAGAGCATGGACAAGCCCCTTGGTAGCATCTTGCGTTAGAAAGGGGCGGATACGGGCTATGTTTTTAAGTTGGTATCTATAGGATTTTGCAACAAACTGGATTTGAGGTTCAAAGATGAGGCCAGAGTCAAGTTTGATGCCAACACAGCGTGCTTGCAATCATAGGCTTATGTGGATATCACTGACTTGAAGGGAGAGCGAGAGCGGAGGATCAGTATTAGGAGGAGGAAAGACAAGGAGTTCAGTTTTAGAGAGATTGTGTTTCAGAAAGCGCAAGGACATCCAGTCAGAGATGGAAGAAAGGCAAGCAGTGACACGTTGCAAGATGGCAGGGGAGAGGTCCAGGGAGGAGAGGTATATCTGAGTGTCGTCAGCATACAGGTGGTAGTCGAATCCAAAAGAGGCAATAAGTTTACCAAGAGAGGCAGTATAAAGAGAAAATAGACAAAAGGGGACAAAGGACAGAGCCTTGGGGAACCCCAACTGAGACAGGATGAGGGTAGGAGGTATCCTTGGAAAAGGAGAAACTGAATGAGCGTTGGGAGAGAAAAGAGGAAAACCACGAGAGGACAGAGTCAGAGACCAAGCGATGTCAAAGGCATATGAGTTACTTATACACAAAGAGTAAAATTACAAAATGAAAGCATATTTTGCACTGGTGAGTAAAAGCATCAATTTTTATTTTATTTTTGATCCAAGCAATTTACATTTGTTTAACCCCTTAAGGACCAAACTTCTGGAATAAAAGGGATTCATGACATGTCACACATGTCATGTGTCCATAAGGGATTAAGGACAACTCGAAGGATTTAGCTCATGTATGAGCCTGAATAGGGTTGTCTAGCTTGTCCCGGTCCCTAAGTGTTATACCTATGACTTCCTTAGGGTAACTCAGGCATATATGTGTAGTTGCAGCCAAATGGTACAGTGTCAGATGTGAGATATCATGCTTGTATCAGGCTAAGGAGGTGAATGCATATAGTGCGAGATATGAGCTTGCTTAAAATGGGTATTCACTAGATTAGGGGATATACATCCACGCTGGGAAGCCCTGACCAAAGGCTTGGACATCTGTATTTTACCAATTTGGCTGATTTGGACAAATTCACTTTGAGTTCTAGATAATTGTGACTTTAGTAAATAACTTTGCATTATGTTTGTTCATTAAATTAGGAGTCAACGTGGATTAAAAAGGAAATTACTAATCCCACCACAATATTCAGTCTTGCCTCTCAGCTATTTACCCCCTTCAGTTATCCTGTCCTACAAAAATCAACTGTCTTGTCAACCTTCATATTTCCCAGTTTAGTGAATAATGACTGGTGAAGTCTGATTGAAGTTTTCTTGAAATTTGACAACACAAGTAAAGGCTCATGACCTCATACACAATGTGCTAATTAAAATATTGCAGCTACATTTTTATCAAGGTTAGGAATGTGCCATTAAAACTGTCTCTACATTGAGAATCCTGGCTTTCATCAATCATCTATCGTGTCACCTATATTGGGCCATCTGCCAGATGTTGCAAAATTGTCATTATTTCTTGACCCAAACACAACAGCGACGTGCTGGAGAGCAGATTAGAGAGGTATTTGAGAAAGAATTAACAGCAAGCTGTTTGATTGCTACATATTATTACTCATGAATGCCAGGGGGAAGGCCCTCTAATTTACTTGTAACTATGTCACACCTTAAACCACAAACATGTCATTCACTCTTGGGCTAGTGATACTGTGATTTTGTTTAGCTTTTCACAAAACTGCTGAATTTCAGTCCACAGATTAAATTAATCCATACTCTTTTAAAATGAAAAGTTACTGCACATAAAAAAAGCCCAGCCAGGAGGCAAATGCTGTTTGACGTGAATCTGTCATAAGACCCTACCTTTAAAGGGTCATTCTAAGCACTAAAACGAGTACAGAGCATTGTAGTGATTATGGTGTTCGCATGCATTTAGCTGATACGAGTCAAAACATTTTTGAATGGTTTGCCAGTTACCCGGGTCCCCTGGGTGCCCTTGGCCTGGCTTCTCTTATTAGATATCACTAAAGCAACAGCTCCCCTTCTCCATTAGACATAAATTTTGGCCATGTTGCGATAGAATACATTGCCTGAGGAAAGTTACCTGACACTCTCAAGCAATGAGGGGGTTGCAAACATAGAACTTACCATTAATGAATAATGTAGGAGTAGGGATGGTGCAGGAGTCTCAGACACCATTGGTCCCTTTAAACTCTAAAATCTCCTTATACATTGAATCATATCATTATCATAGTCATACTCACCTTCTCTCCAGCAGTGTCAATGGATATTATAGCACCCAACTTGCACCCCCCTCCTACATCCCAGCATCTTACAGTGCTATTGGCACTGCAGGGCTACACTTTGCTAATGACACCAATAGCTGGCTTAATTTCTAGCCCATGGGGGTCAGAAAAGGATACGTCTGTCGTTATTTACCCAGCAAGCACAATGCACTCTAATTCTTGTGCCAAAGATCAGAAGAACCAAGTGTAGTATGCATCTCTTGATCTCTTTAGTCACTCAATCCTTGGCACAGAGGTATATGCTGTAAAACTAATAGATAGGTGAGGGGTTGCCAATATATTATTACAAAAACTATTTGCTCGTGTGTGTAAAAAAAAGTATGCTTCCGATTCAGCTACTTGGCCTTAAGTTTAAATTTACTACAAGTTAACTTTGAATTCCCAACAATTCTCTCTTTAGCGAATAACTCTTTATGTTGAGAGGATACAACAGTGTAAACGGTTGAAATCCCGTTTTTTTTAACCCACCTTCCCTCCCGACTCCACTACATCTAATTGTCCCCCAAGTCACTCCCAAATGCCCCTAAGTCCCCCATCTTATCTATTTTTGCATCTTTATGTCTGGACCTAGGTCCTGTGCGCCACCATCTTTGTGTGGGTAGATGAAGTTCCTGTGGGACACGTCATCTGCCCACACTAGATAGAAATTTCCCGGCTGGCCGCTGCACCTGGGGCCGGTCTGACAGCCCTAATCATTGGGCTGACAGCTCCTGTGATCCCGGCCGGCCATGTGTGAGCTGTGCAGCCGCACAGAGCCCCATGGGAGCAGGGGGAGACAAGCGGCCGGCACAGCTCACACATGGCCGGCCGGGATCATTAAAAAAAAAATTGCGGTGGGGCGGAGCTTAGCGTGTGGCAGGGGTGGGGCTTAGCGTGCGGCGGAGGCAGAGCTTACTGTGCGGCAGGACCCGGCTGACTGCAGCATGGGAAGCAGGAAGGAGTCCCTGCTTCCCCAACAACAAGCCTCTAGGAGCTCCAAGCAGGAGGTAAGAAGCAGGTCACTGTGTCTGTGTGAGTGTGTGACTGTCTGTGTGACTGTCTGTGTGAGTGCCTGTGAGTGTGTGACTGCCTGTGTGACTGTCTTTGTGAGTGTGTGACTGCCTGTGTGAGTGTGTGACTGCCTGTGTGACTGTCTTTGTGAGTGTGTGACTGCCTGTGTGAGTGAGTGTGTGACTGCCTGTGTGAGTGTGTGACTGACTGTCTGTGTGAGTGTGTGACTGCCTGTGTGAGTGTGTGACTAAATACCGGTAAACTAAACTAACTAAATACCGGTAAATAAAAAATAACTTACCATTTGATGTCTTCTTTTTTCTAAAATCTTTTTTCAGCCCCCAAAAAGGCCAAATAAAAATATATAATACCCGTTGCAACTGTTAAAATGAGAAGAAAAAAAAAAGCGCAAAAAAAACCCAACAAAAAAACAGACGCCAAAAAAAGTAATCCATCTTCCCCCAGCGACGGCACCACACAGACTGGGCTCAGCAGGGCAGGGAAAGGCTTATAAAGTCTTCCCACACCCTGCAATTTGACTTAAAGCACTCTGATTGGTTGATTCCAAGCCAACCAATCAGAGAGCTCTTGCAGGTAAATGAAGAGACTGACAGGTAAGTCTCTACATTTACCTGTCACAGCACTCTGATTGGTTGGCTTGAAATGTGTCATTTTACATAGCGTGGGAAAGTTCTTTGGAATTCAATTCAAATTGAAAGCAACCAATCACTGCGTTATGAGTCAAATTACACAGCATGGGAAAATAGACATGCCCCTACTCGCTGTATAGCGAGTAGGGGCATAATTTCCTAATACTAAGTAATCTTAACTTAGTATTAGTAAATTTGGCTGAAAGACCAATTTAGGTCTTTCAGCCTTTTGGTAGATAGCTCCCTAATACCGTGGGAATTAGGGAGTTATCTACTAAACGGCTGCAAGATGCAGCTGTGGCACGAATCGGATCGGAATTTAATTCATTCAAATGAAATTCCGATCTGAACAAAGTCCCGAATTGTGTCCTAACACGAATGGAGAAACTGTTCTCATTCTGTTAGGACAAAATTCGGTAGTTTCGTCAGCGTTCAGTCTAAATGACAGGATGTTCAGGAAAAGTGAAAGGAGGCATTGCGAGATCACAAAGGATAGCTAAGGATTGTGGGAAAATTTCTCTGACCACAGGAAATGGAGCACACTCTGCTCCTCTGCTGGTCATAGATGGTCAAGCTTAGGAAACCTCCATAAGACAAATAGTCCCTACTTTGTGTTATGTTTTAAAGCAAACTAGAGCAGAAAGGAAGAAATGAAGAACAGATCCTGACAGAGGGAGAGAAGAGGAATCGATTGTGGAAAGGTATGTTTGGCATGACAGCTCCGCTTTAAGTCCCAGTGACAGAAGCAGCAAATTAAAACTGCTGAGGAAGCAAAACTTGCTGCATTATTTATTATAACTGTGATTTATAGAATTCGAAAAGTAAATTCAAAGTAGGTGTCAAATACTAGGACTAAATAGCAAGCTAAAAATGAAGCAGACTTCTGGAATTCTGTCAATTCACTTGAAAATCAATTTTAATTACCAACAATTCACACATTATTGAACAACCATGTGAGAAATGCTCACACCTTGGCTATTTTAGCCTGAATTTTCCACTTTGGTTTTAATTGACTGCAATTTGGTGTTTAGTGAATACATCATCTTGTATTTATCAGGATAATCTCACAGATCCCACTGGAACAACCGCCATTCATTTTCAAAACAAAACCTCCAATCCCAGAACGAGCTTCTTACAGTCACTTAAAGAAACATTCACTTCATCTCACTGAAGTTGTAATGGAGCTTGAAGTCCTTTGGCATCATTGCACCGTTCAGTGTTCACATTAGCCAGACCACTGCGATGGACTGCAGTAACAGGCTGAAAGCATCAGCACAGCACGCTGTCCCAGTTATTTACTAAAGTGAGAATTGTTTGGAATCATTGTTGACATAGATACTTTTTCCTGTTCAGCTACTTTGACCTTAAAATTGAAATTCCATTTGAATTCACTCTAAATTACCTGCAATTTACATTTTAGTGAATAAACCTACTAGTGTATCACTGCTGCCCATTACTGATGTGAGACTCTGAGTCTGAGTGTATAATTCGATTGTAATCACCTCACAGCTAAACAATCTAGCAGGGAGAGAAGCCACAGGGGCAAAGGGTCCACACTCAGTGGAAAAAATACATGAAGTAGTTATGGTTCCTAGATTGTCTCTTTAACCCCTTAAGGACCAAACTTCTGGAATAAAAGGGAATCATGACATGCCACATATGTCATGTGTCCTTAAGGGGTTAAAGTACTGTGTGAAAAGTACCACAGAATGACAATGTGGCAACTGTGTAAGAAACGTTGCAAATAAAAATTTGGTTATCTTTCTGTACAACTTTATATATGTGTGTACACAAAACCGGTGTTGTGCAGATAGAGAGAGTGTTGTCCTCACACCTCCAGCCTCCAATATGCTAGGTTTGTGTGTGCAGACAAAGTTAAGTTTTAGAATAGAGAAGTCCTTATATGGTTGTAGAATTGTGGCACTGGTTACTGAGAAGATCTGGCTGTTTGCCAGGAGACCTGTCTGTTCTCACATCCTTCTGCACAAGAGATTTTAAGACAATGTACCCAGATCCCAGTACAAATAGTGACGAATAAACACATAGTTACATTGATATATGAAACATTTTGTCTCATTATTTAAACACAAAGTTGCTTTGTAGAACTTGGACTGGATCCCACAACCATGCTGGGTGTTGCATAACTGAATTTGAATGACTTTATCTATTTTCTACCAGTTGCCACCTACTATGACACAGTTGCTTTCATTTACTTTGCATTACATTTACAATAACACAGTCATATTTAAATAAAGTATGGAAGGGATAGAAGTGGAGTATTTATATACATCCACACATATATACCAGTAATGTTTAATTAAAGTATGGAAGGGATAGAAGTGGAGTATTTATATACATTCACATATATACCAGTAATGTTTAATTAAAGTATGGAAGGGGTAGAGAACTACACCCACACATATATACCAGTTATAAACGCAAAGAATTTCCAGCACACATGGGTTTATTAAAGGCTATTTTGGATTGTACCACCTTAGCTTAAATAAGGATTACTTGAAAATTATGCAATGAAAATAGAATCTAGTTGTATCTTTCTATAATTAGCTAAGGCCAGGGTCATTGTTACGATCCTGAGAGATTCCACTGAGGAAGAATTTAATATGCAGCCATGTTCGATGCTGATATGCGGGCTGTGGTTGGTCACGGTATGTTCTAGCCAGCTGCCTAGCAGCAAGACTGTCCAAGGTCATGCGCCTCTTTAAGTGTCATGCAAGGTCTCGTAAGATGAAAACAGAACTAGTATGGTGTCCTTGCATGTTTGACATCTCTAAGACAAGTCCGTGTGTGGCACTTGTACCCACTCTGCCATTTGTGTTGCATTGTAAAGGGCAACACATAATATATGACCAGACAGAATTCTGCTTATAAAGTTCATCTGCTGAGAATGGCCTATTCTTCCCAGCTCTCTCTGGTCAATGCTTCATGAAAGTAATGCTAAATATGTGTTAGTCTCTGTATTCAGGATCTACTTTCCAAGCCACTTCACAGGATAGCCAGGCAAATTGTGTGTTTTTTTTTATTCCAGTTTTCAAAGCATAGATTATAAATAAAGAGAGAGTTACTTTAAGCTGATCAGTTCTTGAACACTTAAAGTGAAAGATAGGCAACCAGCCAAAAGAGGAATAAATTATGCATTGCCAGACTTGAAAATGGGCAGTAATTACATGACTATTTGCTACCTTGCTGCTTACTTGAGGGTTATGGCTGCTAGGACACAGTCGATACCACCACTTAACAAATTCCGAGTTTTATGTTCTCATCCATAGACTAAACAGCAGCAACATATAGTTGCATTACATTACTCGTTCTTCATAATTGTTTCTGTATCATCCACATTATCCCTTAATGGAAAGTCATGTACTTTAAAAGATGGACTATTACTAATGTTGACTAATCTGAGTGATGAAACATCTTACAATATAAGAGTTTTCCTAAAATTGATTTTTAAAGCCCTTCTTTTTTAAGAGACTTAAATGAAACGCAGGGCCTGAGTTTACCCCATTGCCAATATTCCAGTTACATATTATCAAATAAAGGTAAACAATGGCAAGATACAAGACAGAGATAATGCACATACATCAATGAGGCTTTCACATATTTATCAAGACAAAATATGTGAATTCTTGTAGATCACATAGGTCAACAAGGTGCCCTCACCAAAGAGACCAGGAGAATTGTTCTTCATTATATCTTGTAACTGCCCTTGATATGTGTATGACCTATAAACACTTACTGACAGTGTGCTGGGCAGAAATTATGTTAAATACATGGACAGGATAAATTGTATACAAATAGTAGGCTTGTGATTGTTGTTGTGGGTTTTTATCTGTTTCTGTAATTCTTGCAACTAGTCACATGCACATTGCCAGGGTAATGCTGAAAGATGGGAGTTCAAAAGTATTCCCTGCATTGTCCTACTTTAAAATTCCATCAAAAACTTTAGCCTGAAATATCCCACAACCTGTAGGCTTCCCGACATCAGCAACGTGACATGCCAGCGGTTTAATGACAGCAAACTATAACTGGAAATAAGATTACTTTTGCTTTTAATTTTTCTAAGACATTTGTTTCTGTTGTGTGTACTCTTGGCGCAGGGTGTTCTGTTTGGAGTTCTGTGATTTTACCAGTTAGAATTGATTTTCCTTTTCCTATAGCTCAGTCATCGCAGTCTTGTGATTGTTTATTCATTAGAAATGATTTGTGCAGTCAATAAAATTCAGCTTTGTGATTGTCCAGGGATAAGAAGTAGAAATAAATGTTGCTGCATCCGTGGCATTTCCTGGATACAGATTATGCCAACTCTTGGGAATGGCTGCGTGATACGTAGATTTATCGGAATTCAGTATCCGTAAGATGAATACGTTGATTTTGAAATAATGCTTTCTTTGGTTTTGCAAAATGACTGCAGTTTTAAGAACTCCTGAGGCATCTTTACCTTTATTCGCTAAATAATGAATTGTGAAAGTTAATTAGTAACTACCGACAGTAATGAACGATACGGAAGTATATACAGTAATAAGTGGGAATAAGTGTGGTAGGACTGAGTGCCACAGACCACCTGAGTGGAAACCCCTTATACCACTCAAAGAAATGCAAACATATAATACATACAATACAATTGGTGGATCACAATTCTGGATGCATCTGTAAAATACACAAAGCAATATAGTGTAATATTGTCAGTACAAGTAATGTGTAAACGTGAGTGGAAGTCAGGTACTCACAAGCCCAGAGCCAAATCACAACATGGCTCTCATGGATAGCGCTGTGGGACTTCTCTTAAGGATGTCCCCCTCCTATTTCCAGATCACCTTATGGGTGTTCCGGATGAGCAGAAGTAAAAGCTATGCAGGTAAGATGATATCTCTTCAAAGATAAAACTTTATTGCTCCATAATTTGGAGTTAAAAACTACATAAAAATCATCAAATGAAAAAAAACAATAAAAAGATGCTAGTAATAACATATAACTATAGGGCTCTATAAGTCCTGGAAAGAGTCCTGCCATTTGGAAAAAATTTCCAAAATAATGTCCAAAATGCGTTTTGCCCCGTACCAGGGGCTTCCTCAGTCGGTTTGAAGTGCTCCTCTGCAGCTCTGCGTCTTCTTAAATTCCTCATTGCTTTCACTTCCAGGTTCCGGATATCGCATGCTTGGAATGCAACGTGCATTCAAACTCCGACAGCAGTGGAGCGCATGCTGTCGGAGTTGGAACGCACGTTGCATTCCAAGCGTGCTATAGCCGGAACCCGGAAGTAAGTGGAACGCATGCCATCGGAGTTGGAACGCACATTGCCTTCCAAGCGTGCGATAACCGGAACCCGGAAGTGAAAGCAATGAGGAATTTAAGAAAACGCCGAGCCGAGAAGGAGCACTTCAAACCGACTGAGGAAGCCCCTGGTATGGGGCGAAACGTGTTTCGGACATTATTTTTGACTTTTTTGCCAATTGTCAGGACTCTTTCCAGGACTTACAGAGCCCTGTTGTTTTATGTTATTACTAGCATCTTTTTATTGTTTATAAAATTTCATTTGATGATTTTTATGTAGTTTTTAACTCCAAATTGTGGAGCAATAAAATTTTATCTTTGAAGAAATATCATCTTACCTGCATAGCTTTTACTTCTGCTCACCCGGAAATAGGAGGGGGACATCCTTAACCCCTTAAGGACCGAGGACGGTTCAGGACCGTCATCGGCATTTTTGCCTTGAGGACCGATGACGGTCCTGAACCATCCTAACGGTCAGAGCTACTTACCTGATCGCCGTCGTTCCCCCGGCGGCGATCAGCGTGGCTCCGGTTGTGGGGAGACTGCCTGCAGCCCAGACAGTCTCCCCACACTGGATTAGGACCCCTGTGGCCATGTGATCGCTTAACACAGCGATCACATGGTCACAATAGGTATCCATGTGTCTGCCTGCAGGGGGACTGCCTGTGCTGACAGGCAGTCTCCCTGCATGTGTAAAATCAAAAAATAAAATAAAGTTAGTGTTAATTAAAAAAATAATAATAATTATATATGTGTATATATGATATATAGACATATATTATATTTATATAATATATGTCTATATATCATATATATAATGCCATACTAAGTGTATTTTTATATTAATATGTACTTATATTAATATAAAAATACACTTATAATTAAATTACACACGTATATATATAATATATATAATAACTATATATATTGTATATATATATTATTATAAAATATAAATAATAAGTAATTTAAATTAAATAAAAAATTTTTAAAATAATAATAAAAAATTTTTAAAAAATTATATAGCTATATGAAATTTTATTCTAACTGTATTTTAAAATTAATATATATATATTTATATCAAAATACACTTAGAATAAATTTGTATATATATCTATATATATAAAAATAAATAAAAATAATAAGAAATATACATACGTCCATATACAAAATTACATAAATAATTATATAAATATACACGTAGACTTCAAATATATAAATATGCATATATATTTAAATTCTACGTGCGTATTTATGTAATATTTTTACATAATTCAGTAATTTTATTGATTGCAATTTGAGGACCTGCCTGCCAACCCAGGCCGAAATTCCAGAGAATTTAATTTGCTAGCACTGTATTTTACCCTGTAACGTTCTACGACACCCTAAAACCTGTACATGGGGGGTACTGTTTTACTCGGGAGACTTCGCTGAACACAAATATTAGTGATTCAAAACAGTAAAACATATCACAGTGATGATATTGTCAGTGAAAGTTACTTTTTTTGCATTTTTCACACACAAACAGCACTTTTACTGATGATATAATTGTTGTGATACGTTTTCCAGTTTTTAAACACTAATATTTGTGTTCAGCGATGTCTCCCGAGTAAAACAGTACCCCCCATGTACAGGTTTTATAGCATTTTTAAAGTTACAAGGTCAAATATATGGGTCAAATATTTTTACATTGAAAATGGCCAGGTTGGTTACGTTGCCTTTGAGAGCGTATGGTAGCCCAGGAATGAGAATTACCCCCATGATGGCATACCATTTGCAAAAGAAGACAACCCAAGGTATTGCAAATGGGGTATGTCCAGTCTTTTTTAGTAACCACTTGGTCACAAACACTGGCCAAAATTAGCGTTCAATTTAGTTTTTTTACTTTTTTCACACACAAACAAATATGAATGCTTACTTTGGCCAGTGTTTTCGACTAAGTGGCTACTAAAAAAGACTGGACATACCCCATATTGAATACCCTGGGTTGTCTACTTTAAAAAAAATATGTACATGTGGGGTGTTATTCAGAGATTTATGACAGATAATAGTGTTACAATGTCACTATTGATAAATTTTAAAAATGTATGTTTTGAAACTGCAATATCCTACTTGTACCTATAGCCCTATAACATGCAAAAAAAAGCAAAAAAGCACGTAAACACTGGGTATTTTTAAACTCAGGACAAAATTTTGAATCTATTTAGCAGTTTTTTTCATTCGCTTTTGTAGATGAGTAAAAGATTTTTCAAGTAAAAGTCAAAAAACATGTATTTTTTTCAATTTTTCATCAGATTTTTTGTATTTTTTTTAAATTAAAATACATGAGATTATATAAATAATGGTATGTAAAGAAAGCCCCTTTTGTCCTGAAAAAAACAATATATAATTTGTATGGGAACAGTAAATGAGAAGCGGAAAATTACAGCCAAACACAAACACCACAAAAGTGTAAAAATATGCCTGGTCGCAAATGTACAACATCGCAAAAACAGTCCAGTCCTTAAGGGGTTAAGAGAAGTCCCACAGCGCTATCCATGAGAGCCATATGTTGTGATTTGGCTCTGGGCTTGTGAGTACCTGACTTCCACTCCCGTTTACACATTATTTGTACTGACAATATTACACTATATTGCTTTGTGTATTTTACAGATGCATCCAGAAGTGTGATCCAGCTATTGTATTGTATGTATAACTACCGACAGTGCTGACATAATAAAATAATGTTGTTCACTTGTTAGCGTACATTATTTGGATCTGTGAATGTACATTCTAAAATATTGTGTCAGTGTGTCTCACCAGTCATCAAGTATTGTTAAATTCTTAATTGGAAGGGGCTATTAGTATATTTTTTTGAAAGTCCAACATAATCAAAATGTATAATAAAATGCTTTGACTTAGGGGCTCAGATTAAAAGCAGTTTTCATTTGCTGCACCTTGCCATTTCCTATCAGTTATCACAAACAATGGCTGTTGGGAACAGGGTTTTTCCTGAACATTGTGCGGTCAATGTATATAATTCTTTAAAATTCCTTGTTTAGTGAATAAATCCAAGCTGGGCACTTATGGGATTTCCAAGAAAAATGTCAAAACCAAATCCAAGTTCCAGGAAATTTAAGATGGTATTAAGTTTAATCAAACTGATGGATAACATTGACGTCAGACACAAATTTCAACAACTGCGTGGTTGACTCCTCAACGTCTGTGAAATTATTCTTGGAGCCATGGCAAGCATACATGACTGATAACTCAATTAAAACTTATTTCTACAGCACTGAAGAAGTTAACATTGAGTAATTTCAATCCATCTGTTTCAGTTTCTAGTTACAACAGCAAATAGGACATCCTTCACAAGAGCAGCCATAAAAGAGGCAGATAAAAGTGATTTGAATACATTACAACTTCCTTTACATAACTATAGCATGCATCTGCTGTGCAGACTGGCATGCATAAATCACAGAGCTGTGAGGACTGAACCTGTTTAATGTTAATATGTGCAGTATTGAAGGATGCATGATTCTTATATTAGACTTTAAAATGTTTCAAAGAGTTTTCTTCCAATATGGAATAGAATGCATCAGTGCACATTTTTTAATCAGTATGCACACACTATCTGTCAAATAGAGAACTAAATACACAGACCTTTGAGATATAAGACCAAAAATTAAATAAAGGTGGAGGCTGTCAAATAGCAGTTTCAACAAATTGATTAGTTACCATTTGCCACCATATCTTATCCCGATTCTTCTCCTGAAGTAATACCCTTTTTTGAGATATAAAATCCAGAACGTATTATATAGACGAATAGACCTTACAAAGTGCTAGCCAATGAAAGCCTATTCTGCTAGAACTTTTTCTATAAATTTTTTCTTCTTTTTACAAACTAATTTTATTGTAAATGGTTAAATAATACAAATGCCAAACATAGAAAAACAGGTTAGGATTAGGCAATATAATTAACACGTGGAACAGAATGAGGAATATTGAAGATAGAGAAATAGCCTTTGGACCGTAGGTGAGAGGAAAAATAAAAACGAATTGGCAGTTAAGGAAAAATACAAGTAATGGCTATAGAGAGATGGAACAAAAGTTAAGCCCTTAAGGAAATCGTTTCAGAAATAAAAGACAATCATGACTGAAAATGGCCGTCATGTGTCCTTAAGGGGGTTAAGATAAGAGTGAGAAGAAAGAAAAAATAAATAGATTCAACTTGAAATAAGGGAAAGGAGGTGAAAAGTCTGGAAAGGGCAGAGCAATATTAATCATAAGGCGGCAGCCTGGGGCCCAGGGGTTAGACAGGGCTCCAGAATCATGAATTTGCTCGGCCACAATACGGATCCCTATGTGAAAAATGAAGGTGGGGTACTGGCAACCTGCCTAGGATCCTGATCTTAATCCTTCTCTGGGGAAGCGAACTGGTGAAAGGAACAATATGCCATTTTAACCTTTGTGCAGACATGGAGCCTTGTTCCTACACACCGATGTGCACATTTGTTTAGGGAAAGGACAGATGCTACTTGTCACATGGAAGGCATGTTGTATCAGTGAGCATTCATTTTACAGAGGCGTAAAAATATATGGTGTGCATAATGTGCAGGGAGTTATAAATATTTCCTAACAGAGTAAAATGTACCAGCCGGCTCACTTTGCATCCTTGCATAAAAAATTTAAAAAAAGCCTTTCTGCTAAACAGTGATTTTCTTTTTTTTTTAATGACAAAAAGCAAATGGTGGAAATCGTAAACTTAGAAAAAGTCTAAATTTCTGCATTTTTGTTTTCCAGTTTCAGTTATTTTTGCTTTAATGTTAGAAGCCGATTGTCCACTCACTGCATCTATTTCTTTATGTAACCTTGGATGGTTCTGGACTCTTAATTGTTGGAGGATGGAATATACCTGAAAAAAATGGCATTGTATTTTTATCTCCATTTGTATTTGTAGAAAACCTGTACACCATGATTTGCATAATAGACATTAGAATAAAGGGAGTTGTAATCATTATTTTTTGCTATGAAAATGCTTTATTAGGAGAGTGGGAAGAATTCTGCTTGATGGATACTGAAAAGAGAGAGAATGGCACTTTATATCAACTACACAGCAGCAAAATAGCTTCTGTCGACATGTTTATTGGATTAATTGTTTCTCTCCTCTAAATGACCTTGTACTGATACAGACAAACAGAACGAAGAAGGTACACTTCTTGCTGCCACTATTCATAAACCATGGGATGCTGCAAATATTGTTTACTAAAAAGTTTGCTTTTATATACACACACACATGTAAATTTATATTACAATACTGAAATTAATTAGGCTCAGCACATATTTTTTTATAATTTCCTGTTGGACCCTATGGAAATGTAAAATAATTATGGTATATTCATTCATATGAATGTTCCCTTTTTTCTTACTACCAGGGTTAACCTGGTCTTTTCACTTCAGACTAGTTTTTGCAGAAAAACTGGTATAGGGTCAAAAAAATAAACAAAAATATAATAAAGAGGTAGGTCTGCTCCAAATGATTATATACCACAATGTATTGCTTAAAAATAAATACTATGCATTATACAGTACTGTAAGTGGTGCTCTATAAAGCTACACTTTATTTCTGTATGTCAATTCAAGATGACATCTTAAATGTTTCTCATAGTGGTGTTATTGAATATGGGGAAAATAAATTCCCACCATAGCAACTCAAAGACAAATTCATCCATTTTCAACCAAGTCCAACAGCTCTCTTGACCTGTTTTTGTTTTTCTTTCTATTAAGAGATCTTATTCCTTGCCTCATCCATTTCCCAATGAATTCTGTCGAAGAAAAGGAGTCAGTAGGCTCAATGAACTTAAAAGAGATATATGAGCAGTGGTGTATCCTGGTTTTGTGCTGCCCTAGGCAGGACAAAACTCAGGCACCCCCCCGCACCACCCCCACCCGCCAACCGCCACCCAACCTTCCCCCCTGCTCCGCCTTCTAAATACACACACACACATTCACTGACAGATACGCATTCACTAGCTAACAGAAACACACACTCACTAACAGACAAACACTCACACACTCACTACTCACAGGACACACACACTCACAGGCAAACACACACACACACTAACAGGCAAACACACACACTAACAGACATCCACACTAACAGACATCCACACTAACACTAACATACACACACTAACATTAACATACACACTAACAGACACACACACTAACACTAACATACACACACACACTAACACACAAACACTAACAGACACACACTAACAGACACACTAACATACACACAGTAACAGACATCCACACACACACACTAACATACACACACACACTAACACTAACATACACACACTAACATACATACACTAACATACACACTAACAGACATCCACACACACACACACTAGCAGACATACACACACTCACTAGTGTTTTTTTTTTTTTTTTTTATTTAACCCCCCCCAGCCTCCTTACCTTTGGTAATTGGGGGGGGTTCTTCCTCTCCCTGGGGTCCAGTGGCTGCAGGGCGGGCGGGCGGCCGCCGAGGGAGCTCTTCCCCTGAGCGCTCTGCTCAGCTCCCTCGCGCGCCGCCAGCAGAGTGAGGCTGGGAGCCGGAATATGACGTCATCAACCCGGCTCCCAGCCTCACTCTGCTGGCGGTGCGCGAGGGAGCTGAGCAGAGCGCTCAGGGGAAGAGCTCCCTCGGCGGCCGCCCGCCCAGCGCTGCAGCCACTGCCGCCCAGCACCCAGAATGTCTGTTAGCCGCGAGGCTAACAAGACATTTGCCCTGGGCATTTGGGGGGCGGCGTTTTTTGCCGCCCCCTGAAAAATGCCGCCCAAGGCAAATGCCTTGTTTGCCTCGCGGCTAATACGCCCCTGTATATGAGCAATGTGATAGACTGAAAAACTCCAGCCAACCACAATTTTGCAACAAACTAGGAATAATTCCTTCTTGAACCCAAAATAGTAGTCCGATGTCTCCTTGGATCAAGCAGCTAGTAATCCACTAATTAGAAATTATATCCCTGTATGTTATGTCTTTGCAAGTATTTATCCAATTGCAGTTTAAGCATCTGTATAGACTTACAAAACCACCTCTTCAGGCAAAGAATTCCATATCCTTTTTACTCTTACTGTAAAAAAAACCTTTCTTTGATTTAGAGTAAATCTCATTTCTTCCAGCCTAAATCTCATTTCTTCCAGACGTCGTGTCCTATGTATAGCTCTGTTTATGAATAGATTTAAGGATAATGGTTTTTACTGGACCCGAATATATTTGTTTAATGTTACCATATCCACTCTGTGGCACCGTTTTTCCAAACTAAAGAGATTTAAATTTTTACATTTTCAGCAAAACCTAAGATGTATGCATTAAATTCTTATTTCAACACAAATGGTTTATGTTAACCATTGAATCAATTGATCTAGTACCCATCAAATAGTTAAACAATGAAGTGTGGGAGCACTAGCTATAAAGGTCAATGGGCAAAAAAAGTGCTTAACCCTAGATGTTGTTATTATAAAACAAGAAAAGAATGGAGAGGCTCTGACCAGCTAGTATTAGGCAGTAAGGAGTTAAAACTTAGCTTATAATGGATTGTATATATAAAATATAATAAATAAATGGAGAGACTCCATATAAGACATAGTTGGACAAAATAGTGAAAAAAAAAATGAAAACTGTAATAAAGTATATACAATACTAATCTAAATACCTATATTCATGATCTGCTAAATGTAGACTTACAGAAATAAACTGTGAAGTTAGTGTTAAGAACTAAGAGCAAGGTTTAAAGCCATAGGATACCAAATAGGGTCCTAAAAAAGCATTCCATAAAGTAAGACAAATAGATTGATCAGAAAGCTTGAGAACCTCCAAACCACAATCAGACACTGTTTCGATCAGCTACGTAGCTACTTTTAATGGTGTATGGTACACCATTATGGCCATTGTTTGTACATAATCCATAGCTAATGGAAGCTTTACCCACATTCCTGGCCCTTACAGCTCGCAGATCTAAAAATCTTGTACACAGCCATTTAGAAACAACAAAGACCAAGTCTAGCTGGCTGACGGAAACAAAAGGCACCTTCAGATGCGGCCATTGCAAGGCCTGCAAATTTATCACACCCGCCAAGTTTACAAAATCCAACCAAACAAGCAGGGTTGCAAACACTAATGCTTCCTTAATTGCAGTATGGAGTGTCTCCATTTATTTATTATCTTTATCTATTATCCATTAAGAGTTAAGTTTAAATTCTTTACTGCCTAATACTAGTTGGTCAGAGACTCTTGCTTTGTAATTACCCATCAAATGGTTTCCACAAATGTAATTTCTGTGCCAACAAAGAATAACTACACTGATTCTTGATTAGCCAAAATGTATGCACACATAACACACAATAAATTATAAGAATTTACTTGGCAATATATAGTCAGTTGTCAGTCTCATGTTCTGTATTGCTCATCTTGACTGGACATATATGACAGTATGCTATCTGTCCCTCAACCACCAGGTCCAACCAAGCTTGCATCAGTGATGTATGCATAAATAAAAGGATAGAGGAGAGAAACCATGTGTAAATATAAGCTTAGTCTACCTAATCTTATGCTTAAAAAGGGACCAAGTAGGCACTGTAGCCATTGAAGTGGACTTGGTGCCAACTCCCAATTATAAACTGTAATAATTACCTTGCAGGATTAAGTCCTCCTCTAGTGGCTGTCTACCAGACAACCACTAGAGGGACTTCTGGGTTCTTAGACGGTCAACTAATGCTTTCCTATGGGCAGATCCTAATGCAAGCACAGCCATTGCTACGCTTGCACATTAGGTGTCCATCGGCGGGGGAGGAGCGTGGGCGGAACCTGACCCAGCGCGGATGATTCAGGTAAGTGACTGAAGGGGTTTTAATCCCTTCAGCGACGTGGGATGGGGGGCGAGAGTGAGGGGGGCACTCCAGGATTCTACAGTGCCAGGAAAACGGGTTTGTTTTCCTGGCACTAGAGAATCCCTTTAGCCTCTTTACTTGCAGCAACCAAGGAGATTCACAAAGGAATAAAAAAAAAAAAAGCTGGTTTAGAAAAATAGTCTAAGTCAAATATGTTTTCATCTCAGATATTTGAGTCATACATTTAGAAGTTCATGATAAATTCTTAATGACTCATGTTGTTGCCTTGCAGAACAACCAAAACGAAATATAGAACCTAAAAGTTCACTTACTTTCCTCTTCACTCCTGTGTTTTTACCATGTAGGAACACATTCTGTCAGAGTCCCTTTCTTCCCATCTTCATTTCTGCAGGACTATAAATGTGTCTCTCTCCTCCCGGACATCTCTGAAGGTCAGATGTCTTGGCTACATTCTAGCAGCCAGGAATATGGAAAGGAAGAGGCAAAACAATTACACTACAGGATCTTTTTGCAAGATGAAAGAGCAGCCTGCGGCGCCCTGTATAGTAAAAAGACTTGGTGCAGCTGTACTTTTTGTATGTGAGCACCCTGTCCATACATAAGCATGATTTTCTTATTCTGGCAACATATTTAGGAAGCAGCATTACGTGAAATGGCATCAGGTTACTTACTTACTAATACATAAACCACAGTATTTGATCATTTTCAGTTATCTGTTTTTCTTATACCTCCTGTATATGCCAAAATGATCATTTTGCTTCTATTGTAATATAAAATATTGAAACATAAAGATAAGCTATATAATCTCTAAAATGTTTAATGCATAATATTTCTGTTAACGGATTAATGAATAAACAATTAACAAGGTATATTTATATCATTTTAATTGCTCAGGTATCACTAAATAGCAGTCGGTACTGAAACTGACTGTTTTAGCTTATGTGCATGTGCTTTCATATAAACGGAATTAAATACATAATACAGACGCAAAAAGGACAGATAACGCAAAGGTATCTGTTCTATAAAATATATGGATAGATGAGCCAACGGGAGTATCATGGGAATGATTAGAAATTAGACAATTGCCTATTTACAACCGTTTGTGATTTATCCATTTTATGTTATAATGCACTCCAGTATTACCATGATATTGCTTGAGCACATTTAGACAAGGAATATTATAAAATACACCACAGACATACCCCACAAATCCAAGAGATTGTATCCAAGAGATTGTTAAAATGGTACAAAAGTTCTCTTTACAATTATGCATTTATTATAGGTTTATAACCTTACTGGCAGCATACTTTTTTGTTGTTTTAATAAAGCAACAGAATCTGGCTACAAGAACTGGGGCAAAACAATTAAAAGTGAAACGTGAAGGAATAGACAGCAGTGCAGTTGTGTCATATGGCCAATACAAAATGGATTTTTCCAAGATCGACAAAACTTTAAATTAACCCATTTAGTGAGAACGCTTTTCCTAGCAGACTACTTTGCAATGAGCTGGGCACATGTCTGGCACCAAAAGAGTTGAATGGGGGTTCACTACTAGTAATATGCAATTTGTTAAATTCCTGTTCTTTAGAAGCATTTTAAGTAGGAACAGTGGTGTCACCATCTGTGCCATAACCAGCATCCTCAGCCTGCTCCCTGTGAGTTTATGTATGCAACAACTATATGCCGTAAACATTTATAATATGGATTCATCAGACAATTACACATGTGAGAAACTGGTAGCCTCCGGACAAAGAACAAGAAACGAGTGATAAAATGTTTCAATAAAGTTGCTACAATGGACACAACATGATGATTCACATATTTTCCTGATTGTTGAATGGAAATTTATATTTTAATGCAGAGAAATAAATAAATCCAACAAAGATGACTAAAAGCAACCATATGGATCATTGTTTCTCTAGCTGAGACTGCAGGATGTTTGAGCAATACCTAAGAATACACAGTGGGCACTTATATTGTGACTGTGATGAACTTGATATTTAAGTGCGACAAGGCCTGTCAACCGTATTGGTACCAAGGAGTGATGGAAACCAATTACCATTTACCTGACACTGTCTGCCTGCTATACAGAGCATTCAGCAAAATGTATCCAGTGAATTCCATTCCTCACCAGAAATCTATACCTCACCCAGTGGCATTATGACACTACCGGGGTGTCAAAAATTCTACAAGGAGACCTGTTTCATTAAGACTATTGTCACACATACCTTCTGGCTGCTAGTGATAATTTGTACCAAAATAACACATTTTATAGTTGTTCTGATACAATATGACAGAGGACGTAAAGCCGGGTTCAGTGTAAAAACAATCTGTACCTTCCTATAATTCACACAATTAAATTAACTGAATGGCTGCAGTATTTCCTCCCTGATTTACTAAAGCTGTAAATTAGCCTTTTCCTGACTAGTCTTGGTTAAAAGTGTCACACTCTAAGCAAGTGATTTCCAAGCCAGTCTTCAACTGACCTACAGTGATGTTTTTGTTTTGTTTTTTAACAATCCCTATTGGAACAAATCTGGGAAATGTCAAAATCCTGTACTATTGTTGTGCTGTAAAGCTTGATTAGGAACCACCTCCCTAGACTGTGATGGCTACAGATAGTCATTGATTTCTGGATACTTCTGCTTCAAAACAGACACATTACAATTGATCATTAAAATGTGTTGTTAATGCCATGTGTTGTATATGTGATACAATATGTAACACCAGGTATAGGAACGTGGCATTCTATAGCAATCTAGTATGTCCTCACTCTTTGGAGAGGTACTACATTGCACGTGCTGCTTAACTTATTGAGAGTAAAAAACAAATGAGCAAATATCTCTATACATTGAAATTAATCATTTCAAATAAATGTTTATGTACATTGGAAATCTCTATATAATTATGCAACATTGCATCAACTTTTTATTATTTGTGTTGGTAAATCACACGCAGTCATAAATGTTGATCTTTGCTTGTTTTAAGACCCAATTTAAAAAGACATAAAAGCCTTGACTTGTCCTTTCATGAGGTCTTTCACATAAGTCAAAAATCCTTTCTGCATGTTAAGTCATAGCTTGACATCTTATGTCTTTTCTTTTTAGGTTGCCATCTGAAGTTGATCCCGTGACAGTATTTGCCTCCCTTTCTCCAGAAGGTCTTCTCATTATTGAGGCACCATTAGTTCCACCCTACAATCACTATGGAGATGACAGCTACACCTACGAGCTTCCACTTGATCATCCGGAAGAGATTTCTTCCTAAGCGATTCCAATAGATATCCTCCACTGGAGAATCGCTTTAGGATTCCATACAAGGCTACATTAAGTGTACATTCAATCGATTGATCTTGTATAATTCATTTCTTACCAAGTCATATTTCATCGATTCTTTCTAGAGTTCCACTGTAGACTTCAGCTCACGTTAGAATAAAATAAATAAATCCAGGAACCCTAGTAACGTGCTCTTGATAGGTTTTAGAAGTGGTGACTGCAGGGTGGCACCAAGTCCCTTACGTACTGTGTGATGTATATTGTCTAATTTACTGATCACGAGCTGAAATGATCTCTAAATCACTTTACCCACAAACAGAAAAAAATACTGCAGTGTTAAACAAACAAAACTGACTGTTTTAGTAACGTTTGAAAAATAAAACCTTTGTCATAATGGAAGTAATTATTTGCTGATATAGATACAATGTGACATATAATTTTACCTTTTGAAGCTATAGCTACCAGGTGTGCGCCACAAGAAGAAGATAAAAAATGAGTTGAGCCCACCCCTGGCACTGAAAGAGTTAATATGCCTGCGCCTGACGCAAAAACACGCAAAGCGAAGTGATGATGTTTCCTTTCCTGCATCCTAAGAGTTGATGCTTCTTCGGCGCTGCTTCACCTTAACCGGACTAAATGGGGTTTATTCACTAAGACAGCACAAGGTAATGAATTGAAAACTGAAAAAGGTTAAAATAGCAGAGCCTTGATTATAGCTGGGAATTTTTCAAACACAACTATGTTGCCAACTCAGGTTTCATTTCACCATTTGCTGTTTATTGAATACTCCCCAATACTGTTGATGTAGTAAATTGCTATGCAATCTTATTGCCACCGAGTGCAATTGCAAGATTATTTCAGCTTAATCGTTCCATTCCTGTCAGTCAAATTTAGTGCATAGAGCAGGCTTACCCCAACTCCGGCCCTCCATATGTTGCTGAACTAGAACTCCCATGATTCTCAGCCTATTTCATTCATAGAGTCATGGGAGTTGTAGTTCAGCAACATCTGGAGGTCCGGCGTTTGGGGAAGCCTGGCATAGAGCATTGTAAAGCATCATTTTATTTGTATACACTCCCTCATAAATGACTAATGGTATTACACACTAGGGTGAACCAAAAATGACATTTGCATATTTAACACTTAGCGAATATATGAGTTAATGCAATGACCATGGAAATCAGTGCAATCATTCATCATCTGGTATTGTGTATATAATATATAATAAAATAATAATAATATAACTTACTGGTGGACTGCATTTTCAGAAGGATACCCTGCTAAAAAAAAAGCAGGTCAATATGTTACCTTCCATTTGGCTGTCATTTGGAGCTATGTAAATGTTTTATTTAGACATTGGGTTCATATTGTAAATGACTATCACAGAACAAATGTAATGTCTGTGTTGGTCAATTTTATAGTTTAACAGATAGAAAAACGTATGTTTTACAAATTGAAGTATAGTGGCCATCTCATAGCTACTATAAAAATGTAGTTGCATTGTTGTTAAAAAAAAAAAAAATTAAAAAAAAAGAAGAAGAAAAGAGAATCACTGTAAAAAGGTTATAGTTTGTACTAGGTGTTCCACCTTGATATTTACTGGCTTGTTAGTAGCAATTTTATGCTCATAAAAGCCTGTGTATCCTCAGAATGGGATTAGTGATCCTTTATTACCTACGTACGTGGGAATATAGGTGGGCCAATATCCGTGCGATAATCACATTCATTTTCCTAAGGGAAAATAAAACAGAGGTCAAAATGGGGTTGGTGGCTCGTAGCTATGGAGTAAAGCAGTTCTAACTTTTGGTATACCGGTTATTTATGAAGGTGTAAATGGAATTAATACTAATCATTATTGCAGAAATAGGGATTGGGCCAGGTGATCTAGCAATGGGGTATCACTCCCTGACTGTCCATGTCAAACGCAACAAAATTCCAGGTATGTGAATGTGTTTTACAATAACCTCAGAAACTGAATTCACTGCTATATAAGTATTGATCTATCTGGGCGTATTTATCAACGTCAAGATTGTTGTGAATTCAAATCAGAACCGCAAAAGTGATGCTAAAATAGCCGATGTGTGACTACAGAGTTGAAGTTTTAAAGATCATTTATTTCAGTCTTCATGTTGCCATTGAGATTTTAACTTGCTTTCATTTTAAGTTTAATTTTATATGACTATTCTGGAGCTCTCGTCAAAGGATGGATGAAAGAAACCAATGCAAGTGAGGCAAAAAGGTACCTTAATATTCTAACTTAAGAAATATGAAAGCAGCATGAATATATTAATGTGATTAATTAGTTACTATTTAATTTCATGCGTCACTTGCTTAAAATGTAGGCTTCATTTTTACAAACATGGCAAAAAAAACCCGAGCTGCTTCGGAAAAGATGATTTGGGTCGGACGAAAAGCCATACAGTATGCTACACAGCTTGCGAGTAGCAACTCATTAAAATAGGTAGTTTATGAAACCAGGACAAAGTATGGGCCGATTCTACTGCACATCAGCAAGAAACAAAAGGGGAACATTCATTAAATTTGACAGTGTTGTTTTCAGGCCCTTAAACTTGCTATTTAAAGTTACAGTAAAACATAAATCTAAGTGGTTTATTCATTAAAGTTTATAGAATTTAAAAAAAGGCAATTTAGCTATACATGAGTAAAATAATCATCAATGCAACAACAGCCCACCTTTCTTTTATTTGGATCTTTTGCATAAATGTCAATTTCTGTCAATCTCTATATGTTATTCAAGATCATAAAAGCTGATCTTTTCCTGCCTGCACAGTGGGATAATAAGAGCGGCATTGCTATCTGCCTTATCTAGTGTGGGGAATAACCCAAGGTTTGTATGTATATTGGAGATAACCAAATGGTGTTTTGTGGTTTGTTTTTTTCAATTGCTTGTCTTGCAAAGAATGCAGAAATAAAAATATTTGTAAACATCTACAACCTGGTGTTATTTTTGTTTTTATTGTTGATTTATAATGTTGGTTTTTTTTATCAGAGCATTACAACCACTACAGCCTGCGGTAGTAAGTATGATGCCTGGAGTATCCTGGAAATAATGTGTCTGTTACCCATGTCCTGTTGGGCACAGAGCCTCCTTAATTAATTAATTCCAGCTTGTCAAGAGCTGCAGAAGCTGGAGGCCAATCCTGCTGTTCATTTATTGGCTGAGAAGGTTAGCTGAGAGTTGACTTAATTTATGTGCATGAAATACACACATAATTGAAAATAGCCAGCCCAGACCTTTGTCCAAAGTATGGTCAAAGAAATCTGCCACCTCTGGGAGCAATATTGAATATCCATCTATGTGCGGAATTTCATACTGAAACACTGTACCTACAGGGTGCTTGCACCATGACCACTGAAAAACACTGATGTGGTCATGGTGCTTGGAGTAACCCTTTAACCAGACCGCTTTTCAATTTTCTTACCGTTAAGGACCAGGGCTCTTTTTACATTTCTGCGGTGTTTGTGTTTAGATGTTTTTCCTCTTACTCATTTGCTGTACCCACACATATTATATACCGTTGTTCTCAAAAATAAATGATCTTTCTAAAGATACCATTATTTTCATCATGTCATATAATTTACCATAAAGAAATTCTAAAATATGATGAAAAAATGATTTTAAAAAAAAACAAAAATTAAAAAAAAAAACTTTTTCGAACTTTGACTTCCGAAATCTGTTATGCATCTACAACTACCAAAAAACACCCATGCTAAATAGCTTATAAATGTTGTCCGGAGTTTAGAAATACCCAATGTTAATATGTTCTTAGCTTTTTTTGGAAAGTTATAGGGCTATAAGTACAAGTAGCACTTTGCTATTTCCAAACCATTTTTTTTCTTTTTCAAAATTAACGCAAGTTACATTGTAACACTGATATCTGTCAGGAATCCCTGAATAACCCTTCAGATGTATATATTTTTTAAAATAAGTCAACCTAAGGTATTAAACTTGGAGTGTTTTGACTCTTTTCATGAAACCATTTTACCACCAATCTTTGCCAAATTAAAAAAAAAAAAATCATTGGTCATTTTTTTGACACAAATAGCAATTAAAGAATGCATATACTAAGAACTTTAAGGGTTACTGCCAAAGAACACCCCAATGTGTGTTCAGCAACATCTCCTGAGTAATGTGATACCACCTATCTATAGGGGTGTCGGGTTCTCTGGGGACTAAAAGACCTTATTTGAATTCCAACTTGGAATTTTCACAGCTGATCATCATGCACCCATGTCCTATTTGGGACATTTTTGAAGCCGGCCAATGTAATTTACCCCCATCAAACCATATATATTTTTTAAAGTAGACATCCCAGAGTATTCAATATGGGGTATGTCCAGTCTTTTTAAGTAGCCACTTAGTCACAAACACTGGCCAAAGTATATTTGATTGTGTGTCAAAAATGCAAAAAACTATTATGAATGCTAACTTTGGCCAGTGTTTGTGACTAAGTGAATACTAAAAAAGACTGAACATACCCCTTTTGCAATACCTCGGGTTATCTTCTTTTTGCAAATGGTATGCCATCATGAGGGTAATTCTCTTTCCTGGGCTACCATATGCTCTCAAAGGCCACATAACCAACAATCTGTCAAACGCCCTTATATTTGACCCTGTAACTTTAAAAAATACTATAAAACCTGTACATGGGGGTACCATTATACTCGTGAGACTTCGCTGAACACAAATCTTAGTGTTTAAAAAATGTAAAACGTATTACAACAATGATATCATCAGTGAAATTGCTTTTTGTGTGTGAAAAATGCAAAAAAACACTTTCACTGACAGTATCATCGCTGTGATAGGTTTAACGGTTTTGAAACCCTAATATTTGTGTTCAGCGAAGTCTATCGAGTAAAACAGTAACCCCCCATGTACAGGTTTTAAGGTGTCTTGGAAAGTTAAATTCTCTGGACTTTCAGCCTGGGTTGTCAGGCAGGTCCCCCAGATTGTAAAATATTACATAAATATGCATGTGGAATTTAAATATATATACATATTTATATATGTGAAATCTATGTGTATATTTATGAAATTATTTATGTAATACTGTATATTGACATATGTATATTTCGTATTATTTTTATTTATATATACATATATATATATATATATATATATATATATATATATATATATCAAAATACAGTTAGAATAAAATAACATATATAATTTTTTTACTTTTTTAAATTTATTTTTAATTAATTATTTTTTATAATATATATATATATATATACACACACACACACACTATATACACACACTATATATAGTTATAGGTCCCTCGGCACTGGCTTGCTGTCCTCATCTTGTGTAGTCAGTATATATATATATATATATACACACACACACACAATATAAGGTGGAGATTCTTCTTATTATAACAGGTATCCGTAATAGGTAATAGGTAATCCTAGAGGCAAAGAGAAATAAAACACATAATAGTGCAGTATTGTTTATAAAATATAGAGAATGTAGTGAGATGGGTGAAATATCACTCACAAATAAAGAGCCTCTAGATAGGGCTCGATTTTCCAGTTTTGTGGGATATAAGGTTCCCACTGCTTTCTTTATACTGCTAGTAGCCAAGTATGCGCTCAGGGACAGGTATGTAGATCCAAAGTGCTTTATTAGAAGTGCACAAGGGATATAAAATAAAGATAAAAAATATATATAAAATAACAAGACCTTACAGTATTGAAGGTAGGTAGTAGGGTGAGTCCTTAGTGCAAAACATGTTTCGCCTCATTCAGAGGCTTCATCAGTTGCTATAGAGTTTGTGGAAAATGTCCTTTTTAAGTGGTCCTTAATGAGTGTTCATTGGGAGATTGTAATCCTGGCATTCAGACGTTGTTTCCGTTTCCGGGTGGTTGCATTCCATCGGTGGAATGCATGCGTCATCGTCGTTCATGCGTTCGGACGTGACTTCTGCTTCCGGGTATTTGCGTTCCATCAGTGGAACGCATAGGCCGCGATCATATATCCTATGTAGTGGAACACATCCTTGTGTTCTATTTCATTCATATAAACTACCAGTCCTTTGTATGGTGATTTTTAACCCTTATGGGAGGTAGTATAGATAAGGTAAAAACTACAATATTGTAGTGCAAAAATGGATGAAATAACAATAAATAATTAGAAAATAAGAAGCAATAAATTCATACAGATAAGCAATGAAATATTAATAATGAGTCTGCGATAAAAGAAAAAATATTAAAAAGTAAAGAGGTATCTCTTATCTGATGCAATAATCAATGGGTGGTGTAGTCACAAAGAAACATTAGATATAGATAAAGGAAATTATAAAATGAACAAAATAAAATGCATTTATGGAAAGGAAGCTTTTACATTAAAAATTCTTCTATAAAAAGATTATTGAAAAAACTTTCGTGTTTAAAAGTGACAGACTTCAAAGTCTGAGTTTAAACCATGGGGGATCAGAGTTTTGAAATTATAAATAAAACGCATTTCTTCTTTACCCAATAACTTTATATAATTACCCCCTCTCCAGTCTCGTTTGATTTACTTTATTGCACAAAAAAACAGATTATCTGGATTTTGATTGTGGGTCTCTTTAAAATGTAAAGATACACTATGGGTTTCCAGACCATTTTTAATATTGCGGATGTGTTCGGCAATTCTAACCTTTAAATAGTTCTCCCTACATATATTACATTACAGGGGCATTTTAAAATATATATAATGCCCTTAGTGTGACAAGTGAGGTGATCTTTGATAATATAAGGTTTGTGAATTATATCCTCTATATTTTCTAAATGTCGCTTGGTACTTTTAGTGACTTTACATAGGAGGCACATACCACACCCGTAAAATCCTTTCAAATCTTGAATAAAGTGCTTTGGTTTCTTTGAAGTTAAATGACTTTTAACTAAAATATTTTTAAAATTTTTTGCTCCTCTGTATGTAATTTTAGGTTTTGAGGGTAAGATTTTATTTAAGATTGGATCATCTTTGAGTAAGTGCCAATGTTTTTTTATAGTATGTTGTATGCGTTTGTTTTGCCCATTAAAATTGCAAATAAAAGGAATCGAGGCATCGCTGCAATACCATCAGAGCGGCTGGAAGCGATCATGATCGCTTCTAGCACTCTAATTCGCCACGGATGTATCAGGTACATCGGCAGTCCTTAAGGACAGTTTTTTGTCCGACGTACCTGGTACATCTAAGGTCGGGAAGGGGTGAAAGGGACACTCAAGGCACACAGATCAATTCATCTCATTGAAGTGGTCTGGGTACAGTGTCCCTGTCGCCTTAACCCTGCAAATGAAAATAATTGCAGTTTTAGAGAAGTTACAATGTTTACTTTGCAACGTTAAGATTGCCTCTAGTGGCTGTCTTCCTTACAGTCACTAGAGGCACTTCCTAACTTTTCATTTAAGTTAACACTATAGGGTTAGGAATACAATTTTGATGATGGTTCTAATTGTTCTACAATAACTAGAGGTCTCTCTTTTGGCATCCCCTGTTCTAAGATATCACTCACCTTATTATATCTGTCAGCCTCAGCACCTATTGTCATTGAATATAATCAACGATCACCTGTCTAACATGATTCTACTCTTAGGTTTCAGATGCATTTGACCCATTACATATTACAATACATATTAACTAGTCAATGTTGAATTTATATATTTGATTTCATTTTTAATAAAATATTAATTCAAAATCACTTTTTTGGGGGAATTGCGTTGCTGTAGATCTACAGAAATATTAAAAAAAAATCTTAAGTAAAATTATTGTCCATAGGAAATTAAGACTCATATTTTAGGTTTAAGGGGATAAAAAGATACATATGGTTTGTAGAAGTCATCATTTACTATAAATTACTAGATCACTTATGACAATCTATAGTTCCATAACATAGCCCATTGAGCCAAAACTATAAAACGTGCCCTCAAGGAGAATAAAAATG